TGTTTCCGCAGGCTGGGTCAGGCACGCTGACCTGGGAGGCGAGAGGAAAGGGAAGAGGGCAGTGGTGGGTCCTGGGCACCCCTGTGCCCTGCAGGGGGACGCGTCAGCTCTGCCCCTTATCACTGAAGCTTTCCGTGGGTGCTCTCCCCTGGGACCCAAACTTCTTGCTAACCCAAACGAGGCAAAAATACGTTACCAAAAAAAAAAATAAAACAACAAACCAGCAAACCACCCTCTCCCTGGGGGCACTGGCTAACAGCAAACACCCTCGCCCTGGTGCAAGAGCAGGGTTAAGAGGGATGGCTGAAAACTGGAAACTCCGCGCACGAAAGCAGCCGGGGCTGTCGCAGGGTGACCTTTGAGGACAGCTCAGAGCATGGAGCTCACTGAGGCCGGAGGGACACTGATGACACCAGCGCAGGCTCTGCGTGCGTGGGGGTGTTTATGAGGCTAAGCCCTTCTTCCTGCCCTGCTGACGAGCAGAAGGTGCCGCAGCTTCAGCTGGGGCGAGGGGGACCTGAATCTGGGGACGGGGTGGGGAGAGGGACACGGTGTGCAGGGGGAATCCCCGCACCCCCCCGCTAGACCCTGGGTCGAGGGGAGGTGTGCACCCATGGGGTAAGTGTGAAGGCGAAGGGGAAACCTGCCCCTACCCCGTGGGCATCGCCTTATTCCCTGCAACACCACGCGAAGCTCGAGGCTGGGCGCCTTATCTCCACCCGAGCAGCGATAGCAGCCTGAGTGATGGAAACCACGCGGCACACAAAACGAGAACCCTCATGGGGAGGGGGGGACCAGCAGGGTTTGCTTTTAGTGTTTGCTTTCAGGAGACGCTGCACAGGGGGCTGGGGAAAGCCTCTGGGGGGCTGTGGGGAAAATAAAGCAAGGAGCAAACTGCGCTCGCCCCTTGGATGCGTGCGGCGAAGCGCTGGCACCCGTCCCGCGAGGGGAGCACGGCCAGATTTTAGAAAGGACGGGCCCTGGATGCGGCTACCAGCTCCCAGAGCGATGGTAAATATTTAAGCAGTGTCTGGGAGCTGGCTGCAGCCAGCCCTTCCCCGCCTGTGACCCGGCATGCCACACGTCCCCGGCGTGCTGGTGCAGGGGCAAGTGGTGGTGACCCCATGATGAGGCAGTTTGGGGGTGGAAAGAGGAATTTTGGGGCTGGGAGGGGCACGGATGCTGCTGCGATAACCTTTCGCTCTGCTCTGTGTCATGCGTTGGGCACGGGTGCTGGTCACTGCCGGGGAGGTGGCTCTGGGACAGGGGGGTGCTGGCTTTGGGTGCTCGGGGACGGCCAGGAGCCATCCTGGGGACATGGACACGGCCCTCACGCCCCGCTGGAGGCTGTTCTCCGAATGCTGACGCTCGCCTGCCGTGGTGTCAGCACTTTGGAGGCTCAGGCCTCTCGCGCTCTGGCCGAGGAGCCCCCTGAAGGGTGGGGAGCAGCGGGGCGGCCGAGCGCGCCGCTCGGGGTGGAGGGCGGCCAGGGCCACCTGGCAGCTCCAGTGGATCAGATGAGGTTTTTGGAGCCCTCCTCCTTCAGCCCTCGCTGTGGACACCGCCGGGTCATCTCCCCATCCCGTTCCCATCTCGTTTTCCATCTCCCCCTTTCCCTGCCTGACTCCCTTCTCCTGCAAGGAGTTCTGTGTTTGCAGCTCTGCTTTTACACAAGGATGTGCTTCCCCAACAATCCTTTTCTTTATCCCCCCCAAAGCCCCTTCTATCCCCAGTCCCCGTCTCTGGGCAGCCGGTGTCTGTAGGTGACAGCAGCGAAGGCTTCAGCCTGCCCAGGAAAACTGCCCGCGTCCCTCCAGTCCCCCTTGGTGTGCCAGAGGGAGATAAGGCAAAGAAAAACAAATTGAGCCGGCTGGCCCCGGGGAAAAATCCCTGCTGCAGTGAAAACAAAGCGGCGCGGGGATCACGACGAGTTCAGGCAGCACAAGCCCCACGAGCCTCCCCCGAGGCCGAGCGAACTCAGGACGCACGGTCTGGCCGCAAAGCAAGGCGAGGCGGCACGAGGAGGTGGGCAGAAGGGGTTTTATTGCACCAAAACCGAAGCAGGGCTGTCGTGCGTGGAGGTGGATGGCCACCGGTGGGTCCTCGCCCAGGTGTGCCACCTTTCCTTCCCCCATTCCCCCCCTACCGGAACGGGGACGAGTGATGGTTTGAGCGCCAGCCTTTGAACGCTTTCTTGGCTTTCTTCTCTGATTTTTCACCAGTCCCCTTCCTCGTTTTTTCCATCCCGGCCAAGCGTGGTGTTGCGTTAAGCCTCGGCACTCAGCGTGGGGACTGTCCCCAAGGCAGGGGAGGGACATCCCAGCCGGGGGACCCGCCAGTGAGGGGCTTGTGGCATGCAGGATCTGTCCCCTGCCTCCATGGGGTGACGCTGGGTAGGTCCCCTGCCTCCGTGGGGTGACGTGGGACAGCCGTGGCCACCGCTAGCAGCTGCCACCCGTGCACAAGAAGATGCCCCCGGCCATGCCCAGCACCGCCAAGACCCCCACGCTCAGACCCAGCGCCAGCGGGGCGTGCGACCGGCTGCTCTGCTTGCCTGCAAGAGGGGAGAGGAGGTGACAAGGGCAGGCCACCCCAACCCCCTGCTCTCAAGGGATGAGCCCCCGGGAGCAGGGGATAATCCCCGGCCACCCCTGTCACCCCCGGCACGGACCTGTCTCGGGGCTCTGAGCCCGCAGGATGTCCACGCAGGTGGTGTTGAGGAAATACTGCAGGTCCCGGGTGGTCTCCGGGTACTTCATCAGCTCCCGCTGGGCGAAGGAGGCCACCGGGTCCTTGCCGGGCCAGCGGCACTCCCAGGTGGCGGTGGGGACGTGGAAGGTGAGGAAGGCCGTCCCGTTGAGGGTGATCTCGTAGAAGCTGCGGGCCGTGCCGTTGGGGAAGAGGCAGCAGCCCAGGCGGCAGCACAGGCTCTGCGTGTCTGCAGGGAGGCCGTGAGGACGGGCGGGGGACCAGAACCACCCTCAACACCCCCAGCGCCCCCAACACCTCCGCGCACCGAGTCATCACGGCCCCGTTCGCACCCCCCTGTGCCCCAGCACTCACAGTTGATGGGCCTCTCCTTGTTGAAGAGCCACACCAGCTCGCTGAAGTAGGTCAGGTAGTTGCCCACCACCTCCTGCCGCTGCTCCCAGGCGGCCGGGGGCTCCAGCGGCAGCACCTGGGTGACGTTGTGGCCCTCCAGGAGGTGGCTGAGCCGCCCGCCCAGCGTGGCGTTGCCCCAGAAGTCGGAGCTGCCCTTGGACACCCGCGTCCACTGCAGCATGGTGAAGGCGAGCGGGGCTGCCGGGAGACATCGGGGTCACCACAGCCGGCGGTGGCAGCATGACCCCAAGCCCACCGCTCGCCCACCAACCCGACGGTGCCCCACATAGCCCTGGGCGGCCTTACCTGTGCCCTGCGCCCCACAGCCCAGGGCCCCGCAGAGCAGCAGCAGCAGCAGCATGACGAGACGGGATGGGACGGGACGGGACGGGAGGGATGGGATGTGTGGGGACGGGCGGCAGCGGGGGAATTTAGCGGGGCCGGGGAGGTGGAGCTGGAGCTGGAGGAGGAGGACGATGGTGGGAGTCCAGCCAAGGCGCTCCCATTTCCTTAGCCCGGGACAGCCGCACCCCTTCCCTGCCGGGCGCCACGGGGGGCCTGCGAGGGGGTTGGAGGGACTGGGAGGGAATGGGAGGGACTGGGGGGAACTGGGAAGGACTGGGGGGAACTGGGGGGAACTGGGAAGGACTGGGGGGAACTGGGAAGGACTGGGGGGCACGGGTGCTTCTTGAAACAGCTGCAGAGTGGCCCGGTACGGGCATGGGGACTGCACGGCAGGCTGGTGTTGGCAAGGCACGGCTTGGCACGGCTCGGTACGGCTCGGTACGACACAGTATGGCCCGGCACGGCCCGGCACGGCTCGGCCCGGCTTGGCTCGGCACGGCTTGGCACGGCTCGGCACGGTTCGGCACGGCTCGGCACGGTTTGGCACGGCTCGGCACGGCTCGGCACGGCTCGGCACGGTTTGGCACGGCTCCGCACGGCTCGGCACGGTTTGGCTCGGCACGGTTTGGCTCGGCACGGCTCGGCACGGCTCGGCACGGCACGGTTTGGCACGGCTCGGCTCGGCTCGGCTCGGCTCGGCACGGCTCGGCACGGCACGGTTTGGCACGGCTCGGCACGGCTCGGCACGGCACGGTTTGGCTCGGCACGGCTCGGCTCGGCTCGGCTCGGCTCGGCACGGCACGGCTCGGTACGGCTCGGCACGGTTCGGCACGGCTCGGCACGGCTTGGCACGGCACGGCTCGGTACGGCTCGGCACGGTTCGGCACGGCTCGGCACGGCACGGCTCGGCACGGCTCGGCACGGTTCGGCACGGCTCGGCACGGCACGGCTCGGCACGGCTCGGCACGGCTCGGCACGGCTCGGCTCGGCACGGCTCGGCACGGTTTGGCACGGCTCGGCACGGCTCGGCTCGGCACGGTTCGGCACGGCTCGGCACGGCTCGGCACGGCTCGGCTCGGCTCGGCACGGCTCAGCACGGCTCGGCACGGTTTGGCACGGCTCGGCACGGTTTGGCACGGCTCGGCACGGCTCGGCACGGCTCGGCACGGCTCGGCTCGGCACGGCACGGCACGGCTCGGCTCGGCACGGCTCGGCACGGTTTGGCACGGCTCGGCACGGCTCGGCACGGCTCGGCTCGGCACGGCTCGGCACGGTTTGGCACGGCTCGGCACGGCTCGGCTCGGCACGGCTCGGCTCGGCACGGCTCGGCACGGTTTGGCACGGCTCGGCTCGGCACGGCACAGTATGACACGGCACGGCTCGGTACGGCTCAGCACGGCTCGGTACGACATGGCTCGGCTTGGCACGGCCCGGTACGACACGGCCAGGTACGGCTCGGCTCAACCCAACCCGGCCCCCGACGCCCCCGACGCCCCCGGCCCGGCCCGGCTCGGCACGGCTCCAGCAGGGGAAGTGGCCACCGGGAGGAGGGGGCGTGGCCACCGGTATGGGCGGGGCCTCTCGGGGGCGGGGCGGCGGCGGCGGCGGCGCCGGTGCCGGGAGCGCAGCGATGGCGGCGGCGGAGCTGGAGCGGCTGCGGATGGCGGGGGCCGGCATGGCCATCGCCGTGCTCACCAGCGGCGGCGACGCGCAAGGTGGGGGAGGAGAGGGAGGGAGGGGAGGAGGGGAGAGGCCGGGGGCAGCTGCCGAGCCCCCCCCCGGGCCGCGGGGATGCGGCGGGTGCGGAGTCCTCGGTGCCGCGGGGGCCTCTGGGACGCGCCACGGGGACACGGGACGTGGGGACACGGGGTGGGGGCACGGGGCGGGGGGGGCAAGGGATACGGGGACTTGGGACGTGAGATATGGGGACTTGGGACACAGGGTACAAGGGATATGGGGACATGGGACATGGGGGACATGGGATTTGGGGACTTGGGACATGGGGGACAAGAGATATGAGGACATGGGACGTGGGGGACATGGGTCACAGGGTACAAGGGATATGGGGACACGGGGTACAAGGAATATGGAGACATGGGGGACAAGGGATATGGGAGACACAGGGACATGGGGGACACGGGGCGTGGGATACGGAGGACACAGGATACAGGAGACGTGGGGACATGGGATATAGGGGCACAGGGTATGGGGGACACAGGATATGAGGACATGGGACACGTGGGATATGGGACACACAGAACATGGGAACACGAGGGACACAGGACACATGGGGACAGCCATGCCCCAGCACGATGGAGCTGTCGGGGGTCCCCTCCTGGCTGGAGGGGGTCTCCCCGTGGAGCCCCCCCGTGCCACTCGCTGTCACATCTCCTCTCGGCAGGCATGAATGCCGCCGTCCGCGCCGTCACCCGCATGGGCATCTACGTGGGAGCCAAGGTCTTCCTCATCTACGAGGTTTGTCCGCCCCCTGCTCCCCCAAAAGCCCCTCGGCCCTATTTTCATCCATTCACCCGTTCGTCCTGTGCTCGGGGACCTCACCTCCGCGTCCCCACAGGGCTACGAGGGGCTGGTGGAAGGCGGTGACAACATCAAGCAAGCCACCTGGCTCAGCGTCTCCAACATCATCCAGCTGGTAAGCCTCGCCCGGCGCCCCTCACCCTAACCCTAAACCCACCAGAGGAGCCGGGGACCGTCACCCCCCCCCTCTCCTGTGTCCCCTGTGTCCCTCCCCACATCCCCGGCAGGGCGGCACGGTCATCGGCAGCGCCCGCTGCAAAGCCTTCACCACCCGGGAGGGCCGGCTGCGTGCCGCCCACAACCTGGTGGAGCACGGCATCACCAACCTCTGCGTCATCGGCGGCGACGGCAGCCTGACGGGGGCCGATATTTTCCGCGCCGAGTGGGGCGGGCTGCTGGACGAGCTGCTGCGGGACGGTGCGTGGGGGCGAGGGGGGCGAATGGGGGGTCCCCTGGAGACGGGAGGTGGGAAGGGGTCCGGAGCTCAAAGCCCGGTGTCGCGGGGAATCGGGGGAGCAGGGCAGATCAGCGAGGAGGTGGCGAAGGCGAACGGGCGGCTGAACATCGTGGGGCTGGTGGGCTCCATCGACAACGACTTCTGCGGCACCGACATGACCATCGGCACCGACTCGGCGCTGCACCGCATCATGGAGGTGATCGACGCCATCACCACCACGGCGCAGAGGTGAGCGGCACGGGCTGCCCGTCGGCCCCAGGCACCCGTGGGCGCACGCCCAGCCTCCCTCCTCCTCCTCCTCCTCCTCCTCCTTCTCCTCCTCTTCCTCCCTTCGCTCTCCTTGCAGCCACCAGCGGACGTTCGTGCTGGAGGTGATGGGCCGGCACTGCGGGTGAGGAGCACGGCGGGGGGCAGCGCCGCCACTGCTGCGTTTTGGGACCCTGGGGACACGCGGGTGCCAACGCCGCTCCCCGCAGGTACCTGGCGCTGGTGTCCGGGCTGGCCTCGGGGGCCGACTGGCTCTTCATCCCCGAATCCCCTCCGGAGGACGGCTGGGAGGACATGATGTGCGAGAGGCTCGGGGAGGTGAGAGGGGACCCGTACCCTGCGACCCCCACCGGGGACCGCGGGAAGGGTGCTGGGTGCAGGGACGGACCCAAATAACGCTGATTTTGCCGACCGTGTTTTTTTTTCCTTCCCCCTCCCCACGCCACGCCAGACGCGCAGCCGAGGGTCGCGGCTCAACATCATCATCATCGCCGAGGGCGCCATCGACCGCAACGGCAAGCCCATCACCTCCAACTACGTGAAGGACGTAAGGCCCCCCCCTGCACCTCCACCCGCTCCCCTGGCCGTGGCCGGATCCTGCCCGGCCTGACGGCCTCTCCGCTCCGCAGCTGGTGGTGCAGCGCCTGGGCTTCGACACTCGGGTCACCGTCCTGGGCCACGTGCAGCGCGGGGGGACGCCCTCAGCCTTCGACCGTGTGCTGGTGGGTCCTGGGCAGGAGGGGGGCTGCTGTGGGAGGGGAAAAGGGCTTGGAAAAGGGCTGGGAGCATGGCAAAAGGGGGATTTGGGGGTACCCTGCCCCATCATCAAGGATGTGCCAGCTTGGATCGAGCTCACACAGTCCCCCCCAGGCGCAGCTGGGCAGAGTGATGGCCCCATTTGCCTTAATTTGCTGTGAAATCACCGCTTTTAAATAATTCAGTGGCTTTCTGATCATAAATAGGAAATGATCAGGCACGCCCCGCTGCTTGATTCCTAACCACGCGCACCCATAGCGAGGTGCAGGCATCGGCAAGGGTGGCCCCAGAGTGACGCCCCGATGGGTGTCCCCCCCACCCCGTGCCCCAAAACCCTTTTCAGAGCAGCAAGATGGGGATGGAGGCGGTGATGGCGCTGCTGGAGGCCACCCCGGACACCCCCGCCTGCGTGGTGAGCCTGTCGGGGAACCAGTCGGTGCGGCTGCCCCTGATGGAGTGCGTCCAGGTGGTGAGTACGCAGTGGCACCGGGGGTCCCCGGGGGTGTGGAGCTGCTGGTGGCACCTGTCCCCAGAAGGTTGGGGTGGGTGTTGGGGTCGTCCTGCTCCCATCACCCCAGGCACGGGCGTCACGGCGCTCATCTCTCCCCCAAGACGAAGGACGTGCAGAAGGCCATGGACGAGAAGAGGTTTGATGAGGCGATCCAGCTCCGTGGGAGGTGAGGAGCGGGGTGGTGGCCACCACAGGGGGCTGGGAGGTGTCCCCAGAGGGTCCCGCTGGGATGGGGGCTCTCCACTCGAGCCATCGTTGTCCTCGCAGGAGCTTTGAGAACAACTGGAACATCTACAAGATGCTGGCACACCAGAAGCCAGCGCAGGAGAAGGTAAGGGAGAGCGACAGGACGTCCCCTCCATCGTCACCTCCGCTTTTGAGGGGGGCAGGCGCGTGCGGTGGCCAAGCCGCCGTCCCCATTGTGCCACCACCGTCCCCGCAGAGCCCCTTCAGCTTGGCCATCCTGAACGTGGGTGCCCCCGCCGCCGGCATGAACGCGGCCGTCCGCTCGGCCGTGCGCATCAGCATCTGCCAGGGCCACACCGTCTACGCGGTGAACGACGGCTTCGAAGGCTTGGCCAAGGGACAGGTCAGCGCACCGGCTCCGAAAACCCCAAAGAGCTTGTGAGAGGGGTGGCCGGGCTGTCCCCAGCCCCAAAAACGGGCGCTGCTTCTTGCAGATCCGCGAGGTGGGCTGGCACGACGTGGCGGGCTGGCTGGGGCGCGGCGGCTCCATGCTGGGCACCAAGCGGTAAGTGGTGAGCGCCGGGGGGGCACCGCTGTCACCCGGCCTCTTGAGGACCTTGTGGTCCTCACCCCGCCGCCCTTCCCCTCCGCAGCACTCTGCCCAAGACCTGCATGGAAAAGATCGTGGAGAACGTGCGGAAATTCAACATCCAGGCTCTGCTGGTCATCGGGGGGTTCGAGGTGCGGGGAGAGCCTTTGGCACGGGCTGGGAAGGGCAGGGCTCCGAAAGCGCCCCGCGGTGTCACCGGAGGGAGGTGGCATCTCCTGCGCCTCTGCGTGGGGACACCAAGGAGGGATGGGACCAGCCCTGGGCAACGGGGCGGTTTGGGACCCTGCTGTGCCCATGGCAGGCGTACGAGGGGGTGCTGCAGCTGGTGGAAGCCCGCGGGCAGTACGAGGAGCTGTGCATCATCATGTGCGTCATCCCCGCCACCATCAGCAACAACGTGCCCGGCACCGACTTCAGCCTGGGCTCGGACACGGCCGTCAACGCAGCCATGGAGGTGAGGGGCAGCGGCGAGGGGTCCCCCGCTCGCCCCCAGCAGGCTTTACCCTTGTGACCCCGTCCCAAATTTTGTCCCGGCGCAGAGCTGCGACCGCATCAAGCAGTCGGCGTCGGGCACCAAGCGCCGCGTCTTCATCGTGGAGACCATGGGTGGCTACTGCGGGTACCTGTCCACCGTCACCGGCATCGCCGTGGGCGCCGACGCCGCCTACGTGTACGAAGACCCCTTCACCATCCACGACCTGAAGGTGAGCAGCCCCTGGGCTCCTGATGGCATCGCTGGGGTGAAAAAATGGAAGGAAAATGGGGACGGGGCGGGCTCCGGAGGAGGTCTGGTGGGATCTGGGGGACGTGGGGGGGATGTAGGAGGTGCCGGTGGTTTGTCTCGCAGGCCAACGTGGAGCACTTGACTGACAAAATGAAGACGGACATCCAGAGAGGGCTGGTGCTGCGGTGAGTCGGGGGTCCCCCGGGGCGCAGGGGCACCTTGGGGACGCCAAGTGAAGGAGCGGCCCCCCCACCCCTTCCCTCTGCTCCCCCAGCAATGAGAAGTGTCACGAGCACTACACCACCGAGTTCCTCTACAACCTCTACTCCTCCGAGGGCAAAGGGATCTTTGACTGCAGGATCAACGTCCTGGGCCACCTCCAGCAGGTACTATGGGGTCAGGAGGGCCACCAGCACCGTGCCACGTGCCGCGGGGGCTTGACATCAGTGTTTTCTTTGCACCCAGGGGGGGGCCCCGACCCCCTTTGACCGCAACTACGGGACCAAGCTGGGGGTGAAGGCCGTGCTGTGGATGTCGGAGAAGCTGCAGGAGGTCTACCGCAAGGGTGAGCCAAGGGTCGGGGGGACACCGGTGGCACGGGGCAGCTCGGCCACTGTCCCCATGGCGAGGTGACCGCAGCCGGCCGTGTCCCCCCCAGGGCGCGTGTTTGCCAACTCGGCCGACTCCGCCTGCGTGATCGGGCTGAGGAAGAAGGTGGTGGCCTTCAGCCCCGTGACGGAGCTCAAGAAGGTCACGGATTTTGAGTAAGTCCCCGTCCCCTGTCCGTGGGGACCTTCCCAATGCTGGTGGCGAGGGCTGCCGTCCCCGGGGGCCGCTGGAGAGCCGTGTCCCCCCCTCGTAGGCACCGGCTGCCCCAGGAGCAGTGGTGGCTGAACCTGCGGCTGATGCTGAAGATGCTGGCCAACTACCAGATCAGCCTGACCGAGTACATCTCGGGGAAGATGGAGCACGTCACCCGGCGCACGCTCAGCATCGAGAAGGGCTTCTAGGGGCTGTCCCCGAGCGCAACCTCCCCAAACCCTGCCTGAAATCACTGGTCCAAGGGCTGGGCCCTGCGCAGAGCGGGGGCAAGGAGGCTTCCTGGAGCCCGGCCGCGCAGCCCAGCCCCGTAATCATCCTCTTCTAGTTTATTGCTGTTATTTAATGATGGGGTTATCCTGATTCCTTCTTCCGTGGCTTGACCGCCCCAACCAAGTGCTGCTTTTAGCTGAGCGCGCTCGGCGCAGGAGGGGAGCGGAGGAGCAGGCGCCGCTGTGCCGGAGCAGGCAGGGGATGGCCCTGGGGGCTTCCTCTGCCCAGTGAAGCCCCTGGCCCCATCCCCCCTGAGTCGTTTCGACGCAGAGGTCTCAGCAAGCCCCTGTCCCCGGCCACCTTGCATGATGCTTGGCTGTGACCACCACCACCGCGTGGCCCTGGGGCTATTGCCCGTCATCTCACCGCCACTCCGTGACCCCGCCGCACCTCGTGCCACCGCGGCGTCGCTCGCATCTAGAGATAAAACCTGCTGGAGCCAAAGCTGCCTCGACGGTGTGGTCACTGGGCGCCGTGTCCCCATGGGGTGGGCATTGGGTTCAGGGGACAGTCCCATGCTGAGGCTGGTTTCTGGGGAGCGGGCGTGAGAAAGCTGAGCTGCGGGCGACGTGCCAGAGCTGGATTAACGCTGGGCTGGGAGGTTTCCATGGTGTGTGCATCCCAAGCAGGGGTCCTGGGAGAGCAGGACCACTGGGCGGCCTCTCCCATGCGCGGGTCCTTCCAGCGGGTGCAAAGTCAACATCCCTCTGCGGGGTGACCTCGCGACCCTGGAGGAAAATCGCTTCCCCCTTGGTTTGGCTCCCACCTTTGAGGGAAGTTCAAAGCTGACTTCTCGGGGTGACACGCGTGGCTTTCACGCAGTTTCTCAGGGTGGCTGCCAAGCGCCACAGCCCTGGATCGCAGCACTGGGGCTCGGCCGATGCCAGACATCAAATTTCCCAGGACTTGTCCCTCCCGGGGCCAGGCCGATGGGACATCACCAGCACAGGGATGTGTCACGGTCCTGGGGTTTGGACACAGCGATGTTTTCTGTCCCGTGGAGCTGTCCCCAGTGGCGAGCCCCCTTTGATTTTAAGGGCAATGCTGTTTTCCCCTAGCTGGCCACGGTGCTTATTTTAAGCTCTGGACAAAGACGATGATTAGCGCATTGTCCCTGCCAGAGCTGAGCATGCAGAGAGACAGCAGAACTTGCTGATGAGGGAAACATCGCGGCTTTTCCCGGGCTGTACCTGCTCCGGGGACCCCAGGCACAGCTCCTACTGGGGCCAGGTCCCCCGGGGGACAGGGGGACGGCGGGCTCGGGAGCAGCAGGGGCACTTGGCGGCCGGAGCAGTGGCAGCAGCCAAGTATGACAAGCCCTGCACGTAGGCGGGGAGCTGTGCACGGGGACAGTGGCGCTGCTGGGGATTAGCAGCACAGCTTCTGTGAGCTGGGAGAGGAGGAGCTGCGGTGGAGCAGCCCCAGGCCATGGCAAACCCTCGCTCCATCAGCCACCCAGCCCCCCTGGCAAACCATGATGCCTGCTCTGGCCGCTGTCCTCCCAGCAAAACGGGGGGCACCAGGCCAGGGGGTGTCTACCAGGAGCGATTTCTGCCGCCGAGCAGGCTGTCAAGGCAGCCTGGGAGAAGATTTAACCTCGGCGCAAGGGCAAGATGCACACGAGATGACGGGTAAGTCTCTGGGGCCTTGGCTGTCAAGGGAAGTCTGGCGTATTATGAATCACACGAACTGGTTAAACGCAGCCGGGTTTAACGCAGCAGGCAAGAACTAGGTCATCCGAGGAGCTGAAAGCATCAGCAGTCCTCACCCGGAGGACGAGCTGTGCCCCCTCACACCAAGGCCACATAGCAGTCCGTGTCCCCGAGGAGCGCTCCCTCCCACCAGCATGACACAGCACGGGGGGCTCGGGGACCTGTGCTGACACCAGGAATAGAGGCACGAGAGGCCACCAAGGGCCACGTCCCCACCGCCTGGGTCCTGCCCCGGCAGGCTTCGCACCTCTGCATGAAACACACTGAGCGTTGCTTGATCTCTTTTGCTTCCTGCAGTCACTGTGCACTTGCTGCTGTGAGCAGCACCCTCGGAAAGCAGCTCGGCAGCAGGGAGTTACTCTGCTCTCGAGCAGCACTGCGGGCGCATGAAGCATTTCATGTCCAGTGGAGCGGGAGGGAGCAGGGGCCAGCAGCCACCCTGCGGCTAACAATGCGAGCCGTGACCCAGACATAACAGAGCAATGCCCAGAGTCAGTTGTTCTCACGATGGCTGCTGAGCCCCAGCCACAACTCAGGCATCCTAGAGGGAAAATAGCTTTTATTTGGTATGTCACAACGTTTCAGTCAGTATTTAACAGCTCTGTAAAATTTTAGTAAACTCATCTTGCAGCTTACCACCTGCCCTGGATACCTGTGCAATCAGATAATAGCGCCTGGCTTTTCTCCCAAACCACAAAATGCACAGGGGCATCTCGCTCCGAGGTTAAGTTTCCTTAAGCTGCTCTAATGCCTGCAGGGACACGCAGAGGTGAAACTACAGCTGAGCATTCAGGATGTGCTGTTTCACCCAGGCTGCGCCAAGGTTTTCTTTGGGCCACCTCATTGCCGAGTCAGATGCTGGATGTGCTAACAAGGGCCAGAAAAAGTCAGGAGTTTAAGATAAATGAAGAATTTGACATTGACCTTCACCATCTGCACCAGACAGCTCTTGACGATTCTTTTAGGCAGCTTCTTCCCAACAGATTCAAACAAATCTTTGTGGCAGAAGCTGCCTTCAGAGCCTGCTACACACAAAGCTGGTGCCGTGACCGGCTGCGTGTTGGTCCAACAGGGAACAACCTAAAAGCAGTGATCTGCCTGGCTGCCAGGCGGGCTTTGCCAACACCTTCAGTCACAGAGCACAGCAGCACCTCTGTCTGCAGCCCTGCTGGGTTTTGCTGGCTGATCCCCCTGCGGCTCCCACTAAATGGCCCCAGCCACACGCGATGTGATTTAATGGAGCCTGCTATGCAAAGAGGAAAGCTCCCGAGAGCCAGATCCTGCCAGCGCGACGTGCACAGCCAGGGGCAATGTCAGGAGAGCTAAAGGGGCAGTTTCCTTGCAGCCAGCATCACCCCGTCCGCAGGGAAAGCGCTGAGGCTTTGGCTGTAGCCAGGCATGTGTGGGCAGAGCGGTGCTGCTGGGCTGGGGCAGGCTCCCCGGCTCAGAGCGCTCCAGGGAGCTTTGCAACAGGCACCCTCACTCCTCCTGCAGCTCCTTCTTCCGAAAGGCCTGCAGCCTTCTCCCCACGGTCTGCTGGACGATCTCCAGACCCTCCGCGTCCAGTTCCTTCGTGAGAAGCAGGATGGCATTCAGCACGTTGTTCTGTCGGGACGAGACACACACTGCTTTATACAAACACGTTAGCACCAGCCCCGAGAACGGGGTACTTGATCTTCCAAGAGCTGCTCCTTCTAGGAACACCACCACCACTGCTGCCAGCACTTTGCAACAGGCACCTGCACCTACGGGGACAAACCAACCCCCCCTGAAGCCGAGAGGGGCAGAGGCTGCCTGGGAGGAGGCTGACAGGAACGCAGGACAGACTCGTCCACCCAGTCCTGCACCAGCTGCCCACATGGCTCTGCCTCCTGGGCACCCTCCAAGCTGGCTCCGGGAAGGAAAAGCACGTTCAGCTGAGCAGTCGCCCTCCCTCTCCAGTGTGAATGTGTGTAGAGTGGGAAAGGATGCGTCCCCACAGCTCTGAGGCAGAGAATCCCAACAGCAGCAGCTGGAGGGAACCTTTGAAGGTCCCCAGCCCAACCTCCAACCAACGCGGGACCGCTGCCAGCACCGCGCAGCAGCTCTGTCAACCCACGTCTTGAAAACCTCCAGAGGGAGATTCCACAGCCTCCCCACGTACCTTGTAGGGAAAATGTTTTTCCTAACGTCCAACCTGAACATCCCCAGCTGCAATCTGTGGCCAAGTCCCCTTGTTTAATGTTTTCTTTCCCAGAAAAAAAAAAAAAAAAGGAAAAAAAGAGGAAAAAGGCCAAGGCCTGCAGTACGCATGGTACTGCAAAGGAAGCTTAAAGCATGAATGAATGAAACTGCGGGCAACAACCAGTGGAACGAGGCAGAACATGGTCCAGATCTGGCTCTGGCCTTCCCGTGCCAATTGAAGCGATGGCACCGAGCCCAGCACGCAGCAATTCCCGGCTGGGCAGCCAAGATCCACGAGGTTCATCTGGGGCTAAAGCACTGAGAGGGCTGAGGATCCACCTAAGCACTGGATTCGGCAGCCTCCTGTCCCCCAGCTGCCCAATTTGTGCGTGCTTTTAGCACAGCCCCAACGTAAGGACACGTGTGCTTATGTGCAGACAGATGGAGAGTACAAACCCCGCCAGGCTTCCTCCGCATTCGGTGGAAAAAAAAAACAAACAAAAACACTGCAGTGGCGTCTTAAGGATGAAAAGCACTTGGGTCTTTAAAGATACTCACTCTCTTCTTTCGGCTGCAGTCCGTCGCTCGAGGTGAAAAGGAGGAAAATTTGTCCCTGGGAACAGGCTTCATACCGAGCTGCTCTCGAATTTTGCTGAAGAAAAAGGGAGGAAGAGCAAACGTTACCAGGAGCAGATGGCAAAACCTGACTCTGCCAGGCCAGTTCCCTGCAATCACGGGCAGCCACGCAGGGAGTATCCAGCCGAAGGACTCAGAGCACGTCTATCCACACACCGCCACTGCCTGCAGAACGCAGCACCCCGAGCAAAACTCCCCCCTGGAGTACGAGCCTCACTGGTCAGAGGATGAGAACAGGCGTGCCTGCCACCAGGAAGCTGCTCCCTCCTCATGCCTGAGGCTGGCAGGGACTGACCACATCGACACGTGCCACGGGCAGACGTGCGCCAGAGCACGCTGCAGAGGAGCTGAGCAGGACCGGACAGGAGCTCACCTACCAGCGAGGATCCCCGCGGACGATAGCAAGCAGCCAGCTACAGAAGAGCCGGTTCTGCAGATGGAGAACCAGAGCCACAAGCGCCACTACCCCAGCACGGCTCCACCACGCTGACTGGAACAACAGGAACCCGCGCCAGCTGCCGGCCTGGCCGCAGAGTTATCGGGCTCTGCTGGCAGAGTCCTTTCACCCCACCCCGGAGCTCAGCCCGGGAGGCCCAGCAGCTCACTTTGTCTCCTCCAGGCCGAAGTTCAGCAGCTCGCTCTCGGTCTCCGTTGTGGATTCAGCAGCACTGGGCTCAGCGGACTCGGGGCAGCCGTTCCCCACGCTCCTCCTGGCCGGCGGGGCTGTGATCTCCTCCCCGTCAAGCAGGGCCTGGGACAGTTCTTCCTCTGTCACGGCTGCAAAAAAAAACAAAACAACAGCCTAGAGCCTGCTGCAACGAGCTCCAGCAGCCCAGGAAGACGGCAGCCGTGAGCAGGAATGTGCTGCTGCTGCAGAGCTGCGCCACGGGGGCTTCACCCAACAACTCTGCTTTGTACTAGCCTTTTGCTTTCAGCCTCCTCCTGCAGGAAAACCCACACAGGAGAACAGTGGCGGCTGTCAGCAACCTCCCAAAAGGAGGAAGGTATCAGGGAGGGATGCAAAAGATGCTTCGCAGGCTCCAAAAGCCACCAAATTACTGCTAGCAGGTGGAAAAGCTCTTTTTCTGTAACCGCAGATCCAATTACAGAACCCATCTTTGGCCAGAGCAAAGGAGAGAGCTCCGGAAAAACCACTAATTAGCAGCGCAGTCTGGGCTATAATGAGCCTCTTGCAGTCCCACGAGTGCTAACTCCAGGGCTGCAGGGCACAGAAGGGAGAAAACAGCTCCGGAGCGATGGCTCCTGGAGAGCCTCCGCCTGGCTGAGCCTCGCCAGCACGGAAGGGCCAAAGGACAGGCAGCACGAGGAAGCAGCACGAGGAAGCAGCACGAGGAAGCAGCACGAGGAAGCAGCACGAGGAAGCAGCACGAGGAAGCAGCACGTCCCTGCTCTCCAGCTTTGCTCCCCTGCCAACACCCACCTTGGTTATCGAGCTTCTGCAGGCCGGGGAGGTTGCGCAGCACCGTCATCCTGTAGCGGTGGGGGTCCGGCCCGCAGCAGGGGTTTTCAGCCAGCCACAGCACCCTCAGGCGGGGCAGGTTTTTGAGGTAGAAGAGCTCGTTGAGGCTCCCGATGTTGTTCTTCCTCAGGTAGAGCTCGCTCAGGTTCTGGCACTGGTTGAGGGGCTCGAGGTCCGAGATGCCGTTCACGCTGCAGGGAGAGCAGGGGGTGAGCGGGCGGGGAGCCCTGGGGAGCCCACCCGCCCCGGGGAGCCCACCCGCCCTCACCACACAGCAGCTTTTCAGCCCCCTTTTCCTGCACCAGCTTCTCTGAGAAGCCTCCCAGAGAAGCAAGGGCAGCGCTTAAGGAGCTTCACAGGGAGCAGAAAGGCAGCATTTCATCTCGGTAACCAGAGGAAAGAATTAAAACAGCGGGCACTGCTCTCTGCTCAACGACAGCTTTTGGTTCCCCCAGGTACCCGTCACACCAACACCCTTTGCTCCAGCAGCTGCTCAGGCCAGGAGAACCCACTGAAGGTTCCCAAGCCAAAAAACGTAAATTTGAAGACAGCAGAGGTTCTGCATGACCCCCAGGACAGATGAAGGACGGGAGAAATGCGCTTTGTGAGATCCCAGAGGCATTTCAACCAGCCTTCTGCAAGCTGGCCCCACACGGAGGCCCTGAAAATCCCATCTAAACCCTGCAGTATGACTTGGGGAGCGAAATTCCTGAGACATTTGAACCGCCCTTGAAACAGGGACTGTTTTCTCAGGTAGCAAGGAGAGCCCGGCAGCTCGGGGACGCAGTCCCAGAGGCAATAAGGAACCAAAGGCCAGGACACGGCCCCACGAGGCACGTGAGCTCCTCCGCCCTCCCCAAGGCCGGCGATTTGGCATTCACCTGAAGGAGATCACCTCGACGTTGGGCAAATCCCGGCATATCGAGATCTGGGCAGGAAGAGAGAGAAGCAATAAGCGGCACTCCCAGGGAGAAGTAAACACACACGCAGCGATTTGAACTGCACCCAAGCGAGATAAAAGCAGGAGAAGGAATTCAGGTCTGCTTCAATCCGACCCAGGCACCGCCAGAGGGATTTGGTGCCGGAGCCAGCGCGGATCCAGCAGCTCCTCCACCCTCTGCCCCACCAGCACCCCGCTGCTCTCCGTGCTGGCTCCAGGACGGCTCCGTCCCTCTTACCGGGGCAGCCCTTTCCTACAGACAGGGTTTGTGTGCGTGCAGGCTGCTGTCTGCTATGCTGGGCACAGGCGGGGGCTCGCTGGGGCGGGCGGGTGCCAGCCCCGAAGGATTTTGGCCAGCAGCGAGGTACTTACATCGGTGAGGTGGCTGCCCCTGTGGGAGGAGAGGGGTGTCACGGGAGGGCTGGGTGTCACCGCACCGCCCCGCCATCAGCCCTCTGCCCACCATCCCCTCACCTGGGGGACAGCCCCGAGCCTGCCCCATGCCCGACCATGTCCCATCTGGGACCCTGAGGGGTGTGTGTCACCCACCAGCCTGGTCTGTCCCCACCCACTGCCTGTCCCCAGCCCAGGCCTGACCGCAGCCCTGCCCGTCCCCATCCCCATCCCCTGCCCGTCCCCATCCCCATCCCCTGCCCAGTTTCCATCCCCATCCCCTGCCTGTCCCCATCCCCTGTCCCCATCCCCATCCTCTGTCCCTGTCCCCACCCCACCCCACCCACTACCCTGTCCCCATCCCCTGTCCCCATCCCCATCCTCTGTCCCTGTCCCCACCCCACCCCACCCACTACCCTGTCCCCATCCCTGCCCTGTCCTCAACCCTGCCCGACCCATCCCTGCCTGTCCCTGTCCCCATCCCCTATCTCCATCCCCTGTCCCCAACCCCAGTCTCCACCCCCATCCCCACCCCCTGCCTGTTCCCATCCCCATCCCTGTCTCCACCCCCATCTCCTGCCGTGTCCCCAAGCCCTGTCCCCATCCCCTGCCCATCCCCATCTGTCCCCATCCCCGTCCCCGTCCCCGTCCCTCCCCCCCCACCAGCAGTTCAGCCGCCGGACCCCATCGAGCGCGGCGGCCTTGGCGCGGGCCAGCACGGCCCCGCGGGTCAGCCTCATGGCCGCGCCGCGCCGCGTCACGGGGGCGGGGCCACGCGGCGAGGGGGCGGGGCTTCTGCACCAGGGGGCGGGGCTTGAGCACCCCGGGATGGGGCTTTTATACGAAGGGGGCGGGGCTTGTGCACACAGGGGGCGGGGCTTGTGCATCAGGGGGCGGGGCCTTCTACACACGGGGGCGGGGCTGCCGGCAGCAAGGAGGGGAATGAAACGGCAGGGCCTGGGGGAGAGGGAGAAGGGGAAAAAAGCAGAGAAAGCCCAAAAAAGATGTCAGGGGCATTGGTGGCAGTGCTACAGCCACGTGTAAGGTTCCGGGTTTTGAAACAATGACCCAAGTGGTGAATCTGGGAGTTTTGTAAGTTATATTTTAAAACTGGTGTGGAGAAAGGCTTTTTTCAACAGATAATAAAGGAAGGAAAAAGTGGAATTTGCCTTCATTCCTGATTTCAGGTGTGTTTGAGTGTGTAATAATACATCCACCAGCACAGCTTCTTTTCAGGAATGATAGAACAAAAACTACTTGGTGCATCTCATGTGTTTTTATCTCTATTTTTTCACTTCCTGATTACCAAATTAGAGAATTACTTGCTAATGAAATTTGTACAGCACTGACACAACACAAGAGAGCAATAGGCCTTGTCAGACACTGTCCAAAATGTGCCATTTCAGACCTCTGAGCCAGAAGGATGGCCTGCCTGTGGCTGAGCAGCTGTGCATAGCTAACAGATAACCATGAGCAGCTGGAGTAGAGGAAAAATCCACTCCCACGAATAATGCAAGAGGAGGAAAAATAATTATTTTGACACGTAGATCTTTGTGATGTGGTGATGCTCATTCAGGGGTTGATAATAACTTTGGCACTAACTAAGTGAGCAATAAGCAGTAATAACTAAGTGAAATAGTGACTGATATTCCCAACCTACCACTATTTAAAGCAAAATTTGATGTGGGGAGTCAAATCTGACTTACACAGATACACCTAGAGGGGTAAATTTGACACAGGGAGTAGGCTTTAGGCATTTATTTCCCATGGATGTCACCAGCTCAATCTCTTTCCTTTTTACTGAGGCAGCAAAATGTTTGAAATCCAAGTGAGGTGGAAATATTCCCCATATACTGATTTTTTCTCAGATAGCGTCCCCGGGAAGACGCATCAGAGACTGCACACATTCAAGTCCCACGTCAACGACATGCAGATTCCCCCTCGAATTCAGATGCTTTCAGCCAAAACCCTCCGCTGCGCATTTTGGGTGAGTATTACGGTTTCTAAACACAGCCCAGAATTTCTAGGTCATGCTCCTGAATGCTAAGCGGCTATGACAGCTCATGTCAGATGTTTCCCAGTACAGGATGTTCCTTCTTCCCTTTGTTACAAGCAGCACAGAGAGAAAACTGATAATTTTGGTGAGCTTTTCAGTGATTCAGTAAACTTCGGGGGTGCTTTCTGTGACCACAGCCCTCCAGGCCTGCTCACGTACAGCACTGGCTGTGCCGCAAGGCCAGACGACTGCAACGTATTGTGATAAAACCGTTAAGAAGCAGCGTTAAAAAAAAGCTCTGTGGTATCTTTAAACCAGTGAAAGCTGAGGAAATATCGCTCATCTTCCTCTTTAGAAGTTGATATATTCATCTTCACGTTCTGGGGCTGCGAGGGAGAGGGAAGGCAGCTGAGCAGCCTGCAGCTTGTCTCTTCTCATGAGTGTCAAAGGCAATAAAAAGGGAGCTGGGCCAAAAAACGAAAAACGGAGCTGAACAGCCCCTGGGCGCTTCAGGAGCCATCACCCGGACATCTGCAGAGCCAGAGCTGCTCAACACCCAGCAGAGCTCACTGCTGGCCAAATCGCTGCCTTCGCTTTGCTGCCTAAGATTTTACTGCTGGGGCCCCCAGCTGCCACCTTTTAAATTTGTGTGGTGAATACCCAGAGGAAAAAAAAATAAAAAATTTGAAAGATACCAGGCCGTCCAGCTTTCTGCCTTGCTGCCTGTTTAATGGCAGGCCGCGCGCACAGCATCACCCCTACTCTCACTACACAGAGAACACATTTAAGTGAAAAAAAGAAATTGATGTTTTCGTGCCAGGTGGAAGCAGTAGCAGAGGGGGATCTCGGCCTTCAGGGGAGGTGTGTGGAGCTACTGGTGCCGTGGTAGGTGCCAACTGGGACCGACCCCCTTGTTCTAAACACCTCCACCACCACACAGACCCTCTGCTTCCAACAGCACTTGGTAAGTCAGTGCAGTGTGGGCAGCGTTTTAAGCAGTGTCAGTTCCCTCAGTTGCCCGATTTTGGGCTCCCTGTTTGATAAACACGCAGCCAGAGCCGCGTTGCCCCTGTGGGGATGGATGGCGGTGCTTTACAACCTCTGAGGGGGGACGAGGGTTGTGTCTCCCCGCAGATGCACCACGCAGGGGGTTTATGACGGATTTTGTGAAGGGATTTAGGAAGAAACGACTGAAGGGCTGCGCAAAGGAACTGTGCTGATGCTGTGCTGCCCTCGCGTGGGTCTTTCAGGAACATCCCAATCCCCCTAAACGAGCGCTGTTCAGCACCTCCTCCACAAAACCCAATGAGGCGATCACGGCCATTTTTTAACCCTTCCCGGAATAAGAACTCCGCCTGGGGAGGCGGCTTGGCTTTAAAGGCAGCGGGGGACCCCTGAGGGGGCTGGGAGGGGACACACGGGGGGGGCGGCGGGCGGGAAGGGGGGGGGAGGGCACCTCGCCTCAGGGCGGGCATGGAGGGGGCGGGGCTTATTGCGGGGCGGGAACGGAGGGGGCGGGGCTAACTGAAAGTGGGCGGGGCTTAACTTAGAGGGGGCGGGGCTTATCTTAGAGGGGGCGTGGCTTCCCCTCAGCGCGGCCGCCGGGGTGGGCGGGGCGTGGCGAGCGCGCGCGCGTCGCACGTCACTTCCTCTGCGGAGAGCGCTGGCGCCGGGGACGGTCGGGTCGGGTGGTGTCGGCGCAGCGGCGGCGGCTTGGCGGCGGCGGTGGGGAGCGGCGCGGCGGGACCATGAGCGACAGCGGCGAGCAGAACTACGGCGAGCGGGTAATGCACGGAGCCGCCCCGCGCCGCCCCGAGGGCAGCACCATCCCCCCCCCGAGCCCCGCTCACAGCGCTCCGAGCCGCCTGGGCTGGGCGGGGAGGGCCTCAGCTGGGGGCCGGGGCCCGGCTGGGCCCGGCGGGGGGAAGATGGCGGCCGGTGAGGGGAGGGGGGGGGGAAGGGGAAGGAGGGGGGGGGGGCGCGCGGCGGGGCCGCCCGGCGCCATCTTGGGCTGGTGACCGGGCGCGCCGAGAGGGACAAAATGGCCGAGGGCGGGCGGGCCCCGCCGCGCCGCCTCTACCCCGCCGCCAGCGTGGCGGGGACGGGCTGGGGAGCGCGGAGCCGGAGGGATCCTGCGGGATCCTCGCCCTCCAGCCGGCTCCCTGCGGCGCTGCCCCCCCCCCCCCCCCCCCACACACACACACAGCCTGCTCGCCACCCTCCCGGCGCAGTCACAGCCCCGCGGCCCGGTGTCCGGGGCTCTCCTCACACGCAGGCGGCGCTGGGTGTGCAGCCTGCTCGGTGTGGCCTCGGGGAGCTGCCGGGCTGCTAATGCCGCAGGCGTGCTGAGCTTCACGTTGGTAGCCAAATCCGCCAAACCCATAGCTCTTCCTTCTTTAGGGAATTGGGCTCTGAATATTTTTATTTTATTTTTTTCCTACCACAACACACAAGTGCACTGCAGGGGTCGTTCCTGGGTTTTGTCCTTCTCGGCATCAGACTGTAGCTTTTTAGCTCGTCGCAGCATCAGAGGGAGGTGTGGAGGTGGCAGGAAGTTGGGAATCTGAACCTTGGCTAGGGCACGCAAAAATATTAAGTGCTGACTTACTAAAATATCAAATAACAATCCTAAGAGAAATCGCTATGCCTTGTAGTGTTGTTCTTCGGGGAACGTGGCACTTCTTATTCAGATTCACTCTGCTAGGCCTCAGGATGGGAGCGGTACTGCTTTGGGGAAGTTAGGCTAGAAAAATTTGGTCTCCTGGAAACTGAACTTGCTAGGTGGAATTGAACACCGAAAGGCTGCCATTGAAGGATTACGGACCTGTTCTGCCCCAGTCAATCCCATTTGCACTGATACCGCTTCTAAGAGCAATGTGAAGATCTGTTTTCAGTGCAGGGAGCATTCCTGCTCGCGTGCTCAAGATGGATTCCTGCATGTTAATTAAAAAAGTTGATCTAATTTATGTTGTGTGAGTCAGGCAGAAAACCTGCTTAAAATGCTAGCCTAACTTTGGTAAAACTTCTCATGCTAACCCGCATTGTATTTGCAATTAGGATGAATGCAAATGTTAAAACCCTTATTGTAAAGTCTTGTAGAAACATTTTGTATGGGATAATAGGACAGCAGTTGTCCCATACTCTTCTCTATTTTTATCTTCTGTGAATTTTATTTTTTTTAAATCATGGGTGGACAATTTTCATCATGAACAAGGCTTAAAATAAGCTGCATCTGCTTGTTTAGAAGAACGTTATTTCTCTGTAACTGAACTTTTGTGATTCATAAATAGGTAAGTTGTATACAGCATACTTGTGTTGGTAGAACTACAAGGTAGGACCATTTAGCTACAAGCCTTCTATTTCAGACCAATTGGGAGTGGCTTTTTGAATATTATTACCAGTGTTGTACATGCTTATTTTTGCCTAGTTAAGGCTTATATTTTACTGAGTCAATGCCTTTCTACTTCAAGCTGGAAGCACTAAAGTCTGCTCTTTGCAGAGTAGGAACGCTGCTTGGGTAAATAATCTAGGATATGACTTTACAACTGTCTGTTAAGCTGTTCCAGGTCCGTGCTGCCAACAAGAATTGTGCTCCTGAAAGTGTGTTCCTGCTTTCTCCCTCGTACTGCTGTTTGTGTAGTCAGTCAGATCTGGGAACTGAATCAGCTGAATTTTTTTCTGATTCCATTTCCAGCTGCGTTGGTTTGCAGACTTGACTTGATGATGTAGCCACAAGTCCTAATGTCAGCATTACAGGGACGAAGAAGAAATACCAGGTGCCATCCCAAATAATGGGATGTCCCGTTTTGGAGGCAACTTAACCTTAAACTGACTTTATGGCATAGGTTAAAAAAAAAATCCCTGTCAAACGATTTTTCAACTTATGAATCATGGTGAGATAAAACTAGAAACTTTTTTAAAATGAAGAAACCATAAATTTCCAATGCTGCCAATACTTCAGATAATGGATTTTTGACAGTGCACTGAAGGAAAAGGCCACTTTTTAAAGACAATTTTGTTTTCATTCATCACTATTGTGCTCACTGAGATGTGTGTAATTCAGGCATGGAAAGGTTGGAAAGAAGGGTGGCTGAAGTCTTTTTTCGAGTATTTGCAAGCTGCAGCTAGCCAGTCTCATCCTGGGAATGCGTGAATAGTAACAGTTGTTACTTGGTATCTGCCTCATCAGAAAGTATTTAATACAGTATTATTTTACTTTTTTTTGGTCAGAAGCACTTTAATGTTACAAGTGCTCATTTTGTAGATCTACTTCAAGTACTTGGTCAGTGTTTTTGGAAGTACAGCCTCTAGTACTAAATTGTGGCCTAAAGAAGCAACGTGGGCAGGTTTAGAACAGCCTGATTGATAGCTTGGTGCCACCAAAGGGACAGGTCCTTCTCCCTGTGCCTCCTTCATGAGCTGACGCTGGGTCTCACCTCTTGGTGGCCGATTGAGCACCCTAAGCAGTCAGAAATCTGCTTGTTTTTCACAGAGGGGTTGTTCTGGCAGCTCAGCGTGCCCAGGCGCTCACCAGGTCAGTGTGGCAGGGAGCCGGGCTTGGCGCCGAGGGTCTGTTAGATCAGCTTTGTTTTTCAGAGCACCCTCCTGTCTTTTTTTGCTGGAGCTTGGAAACCGTTCACTAAATCAAAACATTTAGGCATTGCTTAGAGTTTTTTGGGGGCAGATAATAGTTACTGAATGGCACATCCCTGGATTTACCTTGCATTAGTACTGCTTCTTGTTTATAAATCGGCTCTAACAGGGGCCTCGGCAGAACGCTGCTGTGTTTCTTGTTCTGCGGGCTGCTGCCAAAAGGGCTTGCTCTGCTTTCCATCTGCGACACGGATCCCCAGCCCCCAGCAGCGACCTGGTGATCGCGTGCTTTGCAGCGAGAGGCAGAAGCTGTTATTTTTTTTGTTGGATCAGCTGCTAGATTCAGTACTAGCAAGGTTGAATGAGTGTCAAGTTAGCCCCCTTGCACATGGGATGAATCTGGAGTCACGTTAGGTAATGCACGATGGGGGGCTCTGCCTTTTGGAAGACAAGTGGGAATTGCTCAATCCCTATAAACTTAGCTTAAATCATAGTAATAATTGTGTTTGACTGTATTTTAAGTTGTGAAATAACTGAAATCTGTAACTTGCATTCCCATGAGGTTCAGTTGGATTGCAGAAGTACCCAAAAAAACTCAAATTCTTGGACCTCATTTACATACCTTACAGCTCCTCCTGCCTGTGGAAATTTTTATCTCCTGTCCCCAAAGTCATTCTGCTGTTGTGGCTTTCCATGCTTAGAGGTTACTGTAACCTGTCCTTACAAATGTGCTCAGAGGTATTAAAAACAGTCTGTAATGCTGCACGGAAGATATTTTAATATGTCTAAAGTACGGAAAGAATAATTTGGAAACCACAACCCTGGACTTCAGGGCTTCCCCCTGAATTCCAGTGAGGCCTGATGACTGGGAAGAGCTGCAGGTGAAGATCAAGGGGTCTGGTGGTTGTTAAAATCCTGCACTTCAAAAAGTCAAGCTTAGAAACACCGGCTGGCTATTTAACGGTGAGCACCTGGCTTTGATCCGCTTCCAGAAGTGTTTGCATATAGGTGGGACAGAAGTTTTTCATCTCTCTTCTTCCACGTGTCATGACATGAAATTGTTTTGCCTTTTTTTAAAGCTTAAAATTCTCAAAGAGCAAAAAATAGAAAAGGAAATCACGGTATTCAGAACCAAAGCAAATCGTAACTGCTCTGCGCTTCAAGCCAAACGGGGGAGAGGTTTGTGTGAACCCTCAGCGGGCATCAGTCTTAGTGGGGTACACACCAAGTGCAGGGTTTGCAGGCTCCTGGTGTAACAAAATTTGGATAGGTGAGGTTTGCTTGGGGGCAGGGTGGGGAGGGTAGCAGCTTTGAAACTTCAGGAGCTGTTACCAGTCTCAGTAATATCCAGAAAAGATCAGGTACAGCCTTTTGAGGATGTAAGCCTGTAAAATGTGACAGAAGGTAAGGATTTTGGAGAAGGATGGTCCAGAAACAAAATGCGAAGGCTGAAAAACAGGAACATTTCGTAAAGTTTGAAGTTGGTAGAGGGAAAATAAGCCAGCTGTTTAATTTTGTTTTAACACACAGGTGTCTTCAGGTTTTTCCTAAACTCCTTCCTCCGATGCTAGGCATCCGGTTTCCCCACACGTGCTAACATAACATAGCAAAGATTATCCTTTTTTAAAAAAAAAAAAAAAACAAACTATCAGCGATATGAAGACTTCAGTCATTTGCTTATGTGAATACCTCTTCACTATATTTCCTCAAAGCTTATTGACTTCTAAAAGCTCTGAAAAAGGTCCGCAGTGCGCTCATGGGCAAGGTGCTCCCTGCTGCTTCCCTCCCGCAGCACCATGCGTTCCTCGTGTCCTTCCCAGCCTTAGAGCTGCTGTCTTTGGGCATCGCTCCTTCTGCCTAGCTTCAATCTGCCAAGAGTTACCTCTAGTGAATGGAAGTAGTTTTCCTCCAAAGAACAGCAGCTTAGTGCTGTTTTTTACCCGTTCTTCAAACCTTGCTTTGTCTAACTCTAAGAATGCTAAAGGCTTCTTGTGGCTAACGTCATGCATTTGCTCAGAACTCAGCTCCAGGGGTTTATTTTTTTTCTTTTGAAGGTAGTAATGGATTTAGGGTAAACTTGTTATTTGTAACTTAGTTCTCGATGCTTGCACTGCCCTCTGCAGGGTCTGTAAGTGTGGTGGCTGTCGTTTAAAACACTTCTGTACACAGATTGATAAAGAATGCAGCCTTGCCGACTTTGCTTTATTTCTGTTGCTCTCGGTATTAATTCAAAATCTGCTTCATCCTGCAAGTTCCTCCACCCCAACTGGTACCAGTGTGGTAGGCAACTGCCAATAGCTAAACGGGATCGTATGTCACATGGAAGTGGTTTAAGCACAATTAAATATCGGTTTAGCTAATGAATTTCTGAATGCTTAGTCTGAAATGCCTATAAAGTTGAGTGTTCGGATTTAAGAGATGTTACAGAGATTAAAAACAAGTGGTTTGGAAGAAATAATGGTAGTCTGACATTGTTAGTCAAGCTCCTGCTTGGACTTGTCACAAAATTTGGAATTGTTCCAAATAGATTTTTGCCGCTGAATTTTAAATTTCCTCTGAAATAATACCTCCTAGGGTGTTCACGCCAAGCGTCTAAGCCACGTGACTGAAGTTGAGCATTATACTGCTTCGCAAAAATAAAAGCTGAGAGCGCTGACTAGGTTAGGTCACCACCAGAATCAGTGGCAAGCACATAGCAGAGCAGAGGGGCTGCTGTTCCAGCGCAGCGTGCGAGCGCTTTGCACAGAAGTCTGGTTTCGCTCAGGAAAGCTCTCCCTTGGAAGCTCGAGCCCTGCGCCTGTAACCAGCCTTGCACGGGCAGCGTAGCCGTGAGCGTGCTCATCACAGCGGGCTGCCAGCCTGGAAGGCTGCCCCCGGCATAACACCGAGTGAAGTCGCGGGAAGACCGAGCGCGCTGTGCTTCCTGCGTTCCAAATCCTGGCAGCTCGAGGCGTCTCTGGCCGCAGCAGGGACTTAGCTTGGCTTACGGCACTTCTTGTTGATTTTGTCTAAGTGTGTGGCTGGCAAAGTATTTGAGTTTCCGAATGCTAGAATCGATCAGTAGACCTTCAGTTGATCTGTTGTGCACTTGCTGTTAAATGTAGGCATAAATAGCAAATCCAGTTGCTTAGTGCTTAAAGTTAAACTGAATTGACTGAACCTGTTTATAAAATAGTAGGGAATTCGGTAGATTCAATTCTTGAACTGCATATATAGTAAAAGTCCGCAGAACATTTTTTTTTCTAGTTTCAGTTTTGGCACTAGATTTTATCCTGGAGTTTTTAAATATTCTTCATCCTGTTCTTTTTCTATTAAGGTTAATGTTGAAGAAGGAAAATGCGGAAGTCGCCATTTGACAAGTTTTATAAATGAGAATTATTTGAAGCTCAGGAATAAGTGAAGCTGAAATTTGAAAAAAAAGAAAGTGAATGCATGCTAATTATCAGACCAGAAGTCCCACTTGGTAGAATATTGAGCAATTTGTGTGAAGTGGGGAAGATGAAAGAAGTCAGAATTTGAAACGGAAGAATGAAGAAAAGGAATAAAAATGAAGTTAAGATAAGAAGTAATCTGGAATCTGAAAGCACTACGCTAAGTAATTACTAGTCTGTTTATGTGTCCCTGTATATTTTGCTAAACATGCATGCATTATCTGTTTAATAGCAAAAGTATATGCAGGGTAAAGAAGTGTCTACCAGGGAAAAACTTCTTAAAAATCTAGGCAGTTCTAATGCCAACTGCCCGGACACATAGATATGAATTTTTACCATTTATTTCACTGGAGCTTGTTTACAGACCTTAGGTCAACCAGAACTTGTATACAAATTAGGCTTTCAATATCTGCGTGCAGGAATCCCGTTCTGCTTCCAGAAGCGGAAGTGCTCATGGGTCTGGCAAGTCGGGGAGGCACACCCCTGCAAGATCTCGATCTAAGGAGGATTCAAGGCGTTCCAGGTCAAAATCTAGATCCAGGTCTGAATCCAGGTGAGTTTACTTTTTACCTCTTCCTCCTCTTGCAAGTCAGTTGTCTTTGGATTATTATGTCAGAGATGAACTGAAGTCCTCTGTAGCCCAGTTCTGTTTGCAGAGGTACCTGGTGATCTGTGCACGCCGAATGCAAAGGGGCATGTGTGGTTTCTGGATTTGAAAAGCTAAACTATTGAGCTAGATCTTTGCAGCTTTTTCTGAGAGGTATTCTGCTACGAAGGCTTGTATCTCTGCAGAAGTAGTGTGTAGGTGCCCTGCCTTTTAAGTTTATCTTGAAAAAGAAAAAAAAAAAGGCTAGCTTCTGAGCGGAAAGCGCTAGGGGCTCTAGATCCTAGTTTTTCTGTGTGTTAAAATAAATCAGTATATCAGCATATTTTACACTTCAGGTCACCTTAAAGTGTTTTTTTCACTGGAAGCAATGATGCTTCCAGAGTAGTTCATGGTATATTCCACGAGAAAGACGCAGATAAGTATAATAAATGTGAATGTCAACTGATATGTCTTACCTTTAAATATGTGTTAATTCAACTTGAAAACTAACAAGCTGAAAAACTTGAGGCAGCTTCCTAAGTGCTCAGAAAAGTTGTAGAGAAAGTAGCTTAATTACTGTCATTGTTCCACAAGTGGATGCTATGAAAATGCCTTTCGGGCTGTATCACCAATCCTTACCTGTTAAACAGGCTGTACGCAGTGACAGGATTTCTCTTGAAACTGCTAACAGGCTTCTAACCGAGACGTAAAATGTGCCGGGAGCCTAAAAATAAGATGATAAACGTCACTGCTAGCCACTTAGCGTTGGACTTAACAGGGGTGTTGTGTAAGGGGTACGTATTTAAAAAGAAATGAATGGAGAGGCAACGAAGCCTGTAAATGGCTGAATGACGTTATTTTTTCTGAAGAGTCTAGATAATGCAGTGCTGACTACGGAAATAAATGTGTAGGTGATACCTTTAGTCATTCGTAAGTGTTCAGAGAAGAAAAACAACCAAAAAAAGCTCGGGTTTCAGTGGTGGGGTTTCCAGCTGAGCTGCTCACAATACATTTTTGTGTATGAGCACTGAATTAGGCTTACCAAAGCCTGGGGGTAAGGGTGTGGGAAGGATGACATCTCTGGAAGACATCATGCAGTCACCCATGATAGAAAACAGTATTGAATGCTGTGTTTATCCCTGCTTGCAAGATCAAAATGATCAGTTTGAAAGGCTTTTGTGAGAAGGTAAACACTTTAGAATTTTGACAGCAGAGAAATGGGTTTGTTTTTTCTGTGTATTTCAGGCACAGTCACAAGTGTCAGATTATGCACTTGAGAATCCCTGCAGTGGGAGAACAAATGTCAGGTTAAATGAAGAGATGCTTGGAACTGCTAGCATCAGTAGACTCCTAGGACAGCCTAGGAAAGGTCTGGTCCAAACCCGTGTTCAAGACAGATTCATCTGGGGGTTCAGGTGGTGTTCCCAGGGCTTTATCTAGTTGAGTTTTTAAAAGCTTTGAAGGTGGAGACCACACATGTTCCTTGGCCAGCCTTTTGCCTTTTAATGTGGCCAGCAAGTCAGGACAATCCAGCATGCCCTTCTGCACCCCAATCATAACCCCTTGGGCTTCCATGGTCTTTCCAGCACTCTGCTTCCCACTTGCCGAATAACCACAGTACTACCTAGGAGTGCAATCACACACAGACTGCAGTCTGAAGTGACCAGGCAAATCACTTGCTCTTGCAAGGACTCCTTTAAATAGTACCCGGGCATCTGGCACTTTGCTTTTCGATGAACAGCAGTAGATGCTTATGTCTACGATGGCTTCCTGAGCATTTAACAGCTGTCTGCAAATTCCTGCAGCTGGAAATACTGAAAGTATGTTGCAGAGTTAATTGATTCGTTAGCAGATTTGAGTGGAATTGTGTCAAGGCATGTGTTTCGAACCAATATACTTGATTCTATTTTCAGTGCCATCACTCATCTGGATGTGATCACGAGCAGGTCACCCAACTGGCTCTCACCAGAGATAACATTGTGAGATCTTTCATATTTCGTGGTAGCTTCCATCGCAAATATATTTCTGAGTCACCAGCTTCATAAATTAAACTTTGATTGACGATCAAATCTGTGTCGTGGCGTATTTATCAGTTGGGGTGTGGACATACTTGATTAAAAAGTCCAAAGCTGTTCTTATTGAAGTTTTCATCCACAATTTAGTGGAAACCCTGTACAAGCTTGTTCTGTGTGTTCATAAAGTCTAAACAATTCTTTGCACCTAAGGCAGCAATATAAGCAGTTCCTATTTAACATAAGCCTTGCTCTCAGTGTTTTGTGTAGTTTAGGAGGGTCCAGCTTTTGTTTACTGTAATGGATGCATACTGTAACCTGGAACATCGGTTCTGTGTTTGTCTTCAGGTTTTCTTTATCAAAGGCTGAAATGTGGCTTTGTGCATGTGTAGAGCTTCACTTACGTTCTTACTTCATTGTCTTTCTGTCTCAGGGAAGTTTTCTGTTTTTTTTCCTTTTTTTTTTTTTTAACTTTGTTCCCCCAAATCACTTGTTCTTTCTACATACATAAGTGTTGTAAGGGGTCCAGCTGAAGTCATTTCTCTGGGACATGCATATATGCTTCAGGTCGAGGAAGACAAAACTAGCTGGCTCGCTTCTGAAGAAATCAAAGGCATTTTTTTGAGGCCTGTAATGTACAGAGTGTACGTCCCGCAGTTTGGCTGTGTGGTGACACTTACCTGGTGACAAAGCCTGACAGTGGAAGAAGCTGTTAAATGCTCAGGAGAGTAAAAACTGGTTCACGTTGAGAGCAGCGTTCATGCTGGTGTAGTGGTTGGCTTACTGTGAAACACGATTCTGCAGCAGTGGCTTCTGGTCTCAGTCAGCTTCCACAAACAGGGGCAAGGCAATTAAGGTATAAAGAAGAGTATGTAAATTAATATTTTATGACTAAGAGCCTTTGAATATTAAACTGTTTAGTGTACTTCTAAGCCTTGCAGCAGCTTTCTTTGTGCTTGCCTGACATGCAGATTAGTGACTGCAAACAGCAGACCACGCTCGGGCATAATATTCCAGTGTAAATGCCTGCCCAGCTTTTCAGCAAAGACTGCCCGTGCTGGGAGAGCTGAGGGAAGTAGAAGAAAATGCAGTGTTTGTGGCCTCGTCTCCACAGACCTGGTGCTGTCACTTCCAAACGCTTCCAAAGAGAAGTGGGCCAAAATTAGGGAGCAGTTGCACCTTTGCCTAAATACATTTGAAGGGTGAATATATAAACATTTATGAACAGCTGATGTTAAATAACTATTGAAATACCATAAGGTAAATAAACATTCTACCACTTAATTTCTTCAGCCCTCTTATGCGCTGTTTCAGATGTGTTTAGCAGATTGCTGTGCTTGTAAATATGCACTCACAAAAATATATTTGCTTTTCCATGTCACTGAAGGCAGTGTTATTCTGGAATAAGTAGAAGTGTGCACCTCTGCAATTGTGCATGTTCGATGTGAAGCCGTATTTACTGTTTACTCCTGTTCCATTTTTCTGTTAAGTCTTCCAGAGAGAACTCTCTCAGCTATTTTAATTTTACTTAGACGCTACTGTAAATGCTGTGGATATTCAAAGCATGTACTGTTTCAAACCAAGATATCCTTGTTAGACAGTTACAAGCTGCTGAGGAGTTAAAAGCTAATTGAAGTGGATGTTGAGGTTACTGTTTTGCAGTAGATATGCTCTAGAGCATCTACTGTAGTCTTAATTGTAAAGATTGAGTGGTCAGGCTTTGAGATTAGTGACTAAATTGATTACATCTTAATTGTGTAGTGCCTACCCCAGGTTCTGAGAAAATGGCTGTTTAGACTTTGTGAGTAGCTGTTATTTTTGAAGGGTCCAGGGAAAAAAACACTACTTTTTATTTTTTTTCCTCAGATCTAGATCAAGGAGGAGTTCCCGTAGACACTACACAAGGTCACGCTCTCGTTCCCGCTCTCACAGGAGATCCAGAAGTAGGTCATACAGTCGGGATTATCGGCGACGACACAGTCACAGCCATTCCCCCATGTCTACTCGCAGGCGCCACATTGGAAACAGGGTACGTACCCTGCAGAGGAGGGGAGGAGGTGTAAACAGGCTTGAGTACATCTTGAAGTCACTACATTCATTCCATAGGGTTTTCCACAAAATCATTCTGCTTCCTGCATGGATCTATTTAAAAGGTATTGGTGAGGTTAATTGTCATTTGTTTTTTTGGTAAACCTTGGATTTCCATAAGTTTGCCTAGGAACCAGTGCAGGCTAATATCAGGATATGTGCTGTAATAAACGAGCAGCTGTATGCAGTGAAGGGCAGTGGCAGAATTAGGAGGGAGGATCATTTGACTTTACTTGAGAAAGGCTGGAGAAGTAAAATATTTAGTTAAAAGCTGTCTTGACGTTCTCTTTATTAAGTGAGAGCATCCAGTCTGGCTTGATTTTAGCTGCTGAGAGTCTCAGTTGACAGAAAGCAATGTACTTCATGATAAAGTTAGGGGACAAGTGATAACTAAAACGAAGATGTGATCCAGGCCGTTCTCTGTATCCGTAGTCAGTAGTCACCCACTCTCTCTGGAGAGAAGACTCCAAGTACAGTAACTTTGTGTGTTCTCACTATAGTTGGTACAGGAAAAATGCAAAGTATTTCTGTGAAAGGGTGCTTGTGTATCTGTAGGTTTTATTGTAATAGAAGTGTATACTAGCAAACTAATCCAACCTCAATCGAAGCAGTGTGTTGTTGCTGATATTTTCAGGGACTCAAGTTTGTAAAATATACCACATGTTGCAAATGCGAGCATTTTTATTCTGATCTCTCTCTCTCTCTTTTAGGCAAATCCTGACCCAAACTGTTGTCTTGGTGTATTTGGGTTGAGTCTGTACACCACGGAACGAGATCTGAGAGAAGTTTTCTCCAAGTATGGTCCAATTGCTGATGTTTCCATTGTGTACGATCAGCAGTCGCGGCGTTCGAGAGGATTTGCATTTGTGTACTTTGAAAACGTTGAGGATGCTAAGGAAGTAGGTTGGGGTGTGGGCTGTATGGCATGTTTGCTGGGATGTATGTTCTGTCCCAGGTTGTAGCCTAGGAAAGCTTTCTGTTCGACCTTTAAAGTGGCATAGGAACCTTTTGCGCTAATCCCTTTGGCTAGGTGAAATGATCATAATGCAAGCTAATGTCACAGTATCTTATCTTCCCTGCCTTCTCAGGGCCTAAAAAAAAAACTTCGCACCTCATAATAAATGTCAGTGTCTTGGTTCAAAAGATATCTTCTGTGTACCAGAGGAAACGGTGAAAGGGCATGAATTCTGGTCCCAGTGCAGGCTGAGTTGTTGTATAAGTCACAAAAGCAATCTTCAGCCTAGCATGGTGCAACTGTGCCAACAAGAAAAAGAAAATAGAAACACATGTTCTCTTCAAATTATGAGATGGAAGTTCTTTCCGAGCTCCACGTGACCCTCTGTTTAGTATTACTGCTCGGAGTGCACCAGACTGATATTGCACAGTTCTCAAACGCTCAGGTGCCCTGTAGGAGCTTTAGCATGCATCCTGTTGACTTGTAGAGCTTCAGAAGGAAAGTGGGGAAGTATTTTTTTATGAAAATAAAAGGCCAGGCAAATATTTCTGGCATTCCTGGTCAAGTGACTGCCTGAAACCCTAAAGGACTGGGTGAATCGAAGTGGTGTCGATACCATATAATAGATTACCAAGTGTGCTCATAAGTGCTATGGAAATGACATGGGAAGGGGAATGCAATTCTATTCTTGGGCCTGCCTTGGATGGCACTGTGTCTGTGGACTGTGATCAGGTTTATCTTCTGCATGAGTTCTAATTCTTACCATCTGGGGTGTCTTTTTTTTTTTTTCCAAATTCAGCGTAAGACTTCCATGGTAGGTTTAAGCTTTGAATGTGGGCTGTGCTACTTGGCAGAAAAAGTGGTTTCAGGCTTTTTACTTCGTGTTTGCTTATGGCTCAAATACTACTATATTCAAGGATATGGTAGATTTTGAGAATGTCTTTGAGGGGGGGGGAAGAATTAAAAGAGCACCGATACATAGACTTAACGTCTAAGTATATTCTATGTTTAGTGTTCCATGTTGGAGTTGTTACAATTTCCCTACACAAGCACTTTTTTTCAAAGGCTCCTCTTAATCATGTTAGAAACAGTTAATGAAACAATTGGTAAATTATGTTCCTCTTAGGCATTTCACGCAATGTAAGTCACCTTTAAGTAATTACTGAGGCTTATATCCAGCTAGTTAGAATGTCTTAAGAGTTTATGTTCGGTATGTAAGTATGGGGCATATGTGAAATCTAGACTTGGGTCTTAGTTGAGCTCTTCTGAGGCCTTTCTAAATATTTCATGCAGTGGTTAGGAGCTTGTGTTGGTACTAAAGTTCATACCTACAGCTAATTGTATTTTTATCTCTGCTTAGGCAAAGGAACGTGCCAATGGAATGGAGCTGGATGGAAGAAGAATCCGGGTAGACTTCTCCATTACAAAAAGACCTCACACACCTACCCCTGGAATCTACATGGGAAGACCAACTTAGTAAGTTACCTCCTGATTTTTTTATCCTAAAAAAAAATAAGGGACAGGTTATATTGTGTCCTGTGTTTTAAAATAAATAAAACCCACAGAACCCCTCTTGTATATATTCCTTTGAGACCTGTTTCTGTGTGTTTTTCCTAGTTTATCAGGCTTTTACATTAATGTGCTATTCTGAAAGTTAGTGTCTACATGTAGTAGTTTGGTATGTGGGCACAAGAAGAACATACATCCTTGCTTCTGGTTTGCGTGCAGCGCAGTAAGTGGATGTTTCAGTACTGGGAGCTAAAATATGAAAATCGTTGATGCCTAATCATATTTTTAACAAGTCTCTTTAGGAAGAGCTGTGCTAACACTGGTGTGGCTGTTTGGCAAAGCCTCAGAAAACTAGAAACTCAGCTGATAAAAGAGGTTCTTCAGATTTATTTAAAAAGGAAAAACTCACATGGACTGCTATCAGTAGTAATATGTATCTTTCTACTCTTTAGTTATAAGGTGTTTAATTTATATAGCACTTGTCAGAGACTGATGCAGTGTCAGTCTGGATTGCAATAAGCAGAAACCTGTGTTCATTAGTTATGCCAAAACATCAGTTATCTAAACATATAAGTCTGCAGTAAGAATCTTTGTTAATTTCTAAACTATTTCAAGTTGTTTCTGATTAATGGATGTTCCCCTACGTGTTCTCAAATGCTAATGGCTTTGCAAGCTCTAGTTTTCAAGAGTACATCAACAAATACTATTGTGCAGCTTTGCAGTTTACCCTATCCGAAGTGTAAACATTTGACGAAGTTTCCAAGAATGTGAGTTGTTTTCCCAAGTGGTTTCCCAATTGTTTTCCCAAGACTCTCAGCGTATGGTATTGGTGGCTGTGTAGCTGATGTTGTATTGATGCTGTAAGCTTTTTTTTTTTTTTTAATAGAGAAGTTCTTCTAAAATAAGCTTTCTGAGAGTTAAAAGTGAATGAGGAGTTGCTACAGAATGGAATTCCTCTTGTGCCTGTGATATCCAAAGGTTAAGAGGTTTCAGACAAGGAAGAAAGTAGCAGTCTTAAATTTAAGCATTTTAAAAAGCAATCTTAGGTAGATCTGTCTCCATCTGCATAGGTGGGAAACACTCAGCCATCACTTAAACGGTGAGGACAGGAGGTAGTAATTTAAGCCAGTTAAAATGGTGTGTACTTGACTGGATGCACTGCGAACAGTGCTTTATATTTTATTAAATGTAATTTCTCTTCCATTACTTGTAGCGGCAGCTCTCGACGACGAGATTACTATGACAGAGGATATGATAGAGGATATGATGATCGTGACTATTACAGCAGATCATATAGGTGAGGCAATATTTGTAATTCTGGACTACTTTTTGAACTGTGCTTTCTCATCTATGTTTCTACCTTCAGAAGTATGCCAATATATTTTTAGGCTCATCTTAATTATGGTTTCTTCGTACAAAATCTTTACCAAGGAGGCTACTTGGTGCAAAATAGATTAGTGGGAGATACACTTCATGCTGTTTAGCAAGAGTTAATCCATAATGCTTTTTTCAATCATCAGTAAGTTCTGAAAAACAAAGTAACATTCTCTGTACTCTTTTTTTCAAAAATAATTCTTTGATTCCTCTATTACCATTAAAATGGTGGCAATATGGGTGCTCGTTAATATTCGAGTTTGTGTTACAACACCAAATTACTTTCTGAGTGTAGTAGACAAAAAGTAGGAAGTGGTCACCAGGATCCCCTGTTAACAGTGGACATTTCAAGCACTGCCAATAATGAGGAATCAGAAGTTGGAAAATGACCTGTTCTATACTGGATATTTTCATGAAAAAGTTTTGTTTTGTTTTTAGCATGCTCTTGTCAGGCTGTGTGTAGATGATCTACTTGAGGGACTTGCGTATCTTTCTTCTGTCTGCCTTCAGTCCAAACTTAAGTGTTCAACAGTAGCTAGCTTCACCAAAAGAGGTGTGAATGTTCAGGTGGCAACAGATTGTCAGAAGGTTAGGGAAGTTAGTACAGAATCTGTTGAAAATGCAGTTGGTACTTCATTGGTTTTGGAGACAGAGCTCACTTATCTTCAGCATTCTCCATTTTGACTGCCAAATGAGCTTGTCCCATGTGAAATTCCCAGAATTTGACTGGGATGCAATTAAGTCGGACAGCAAGATGACAATTCATTTTTTCTGTCTGTAATTGCCCAATGTTTAAGAGCGTCACTTTAAATGGTTGTGGAACCTTTGTTCAGTACGTGCAGCAGCACTGAGCTGTTTGGCTAGCTGTAACGCATCGGCACTGGGTGCGTTTGTGACCTGCCTGCTGCCAACAGCGCATTGGAGATGCGTGCGTTTGAATTGCGTTATCCTATTACACCTCAAAGATGATGAAAATGCTCAATTCTGTGATCCTCCTAGCATTCAGTATGCTCTTCTGTTCCTTCCTACATGTATAAGAAATATATTCTATATGCTTACATTGGTATTTGTGTGGTGATCCTCAGTCACTGAGGGCAGCTGTCTTTCTTACCCCTCCTTCTACTCTCAGACACTTACTTCTTACCTTTAGCCATTGCTTCTGTTTCTCACCTCCCTGCCTTGCATGTCTGATCTAAAGCAGGGGCCTTGCTTCTTCAGGTGTTTCAGCCCTGCTGGAGGCAGGGAGAGGTGCTCCACCTCCTTACAGTGAATGCGGGAGACACAAGTGTTCTGCTCACGGCTCTGGGAACACAGGGTATTTTCTGCCTCTATCCATTTCCCTACTGTGTCAGCAGCTTTGAGTGTTTTGGAGAACTGTAGCAGGATAAATCTTACTAAGCATACACCAAGACTTACTGGTTTTGCCTTGCCAGCTGTTGCATATAGGCTTTTGTGAAGTAGCTGTGACACAAAAGTGTATCTTTGACCAAACTTTGTTTATTTCGGGGCACTAGGTGCAAAAACTTCCCCAGGATAGTTACTGCTATAATGCCTAATTGCTTTGCTAGATTTCAATTCATTATTTTTAGGACATTGCGTGAAGCAGCTCCATAAAATGCTGGGGAACAGACAACATGTGTCTTAAAACATAGTCCTTGAAATCTGCTGTTTGTTGCTTGTGTGTTCTTGAAATGTAATTTGATCGAGGTTATGGTATGACAAAAGTCTTCCGCTACCAGGTGTTACCTTTTGTTATCCCTGATGGTGCATTGTGGCTCGGATCTTTGTAAAGCAGTATCAGAAGTTTGAATTACTTCACTTCTGGGTGTGTGCTAGTCAGCATAGTTGCAGAGACTGACAGTGAACAACTGATAGTGAGGAGGATGTGGATTAGGAGAGGAAAAGCGCGCTAATAAGAAGTGAAGTGAGAAGATGGGCTACTTCAGTTAGTGTAGTTTGTGTAGTGTATCAGAATTCACAGCTATGCTTTGGTTCAGCGCTTCGAGGCAGTCATGCTGCAGGCGATGTTCTGACTTTCCGGTGTGCTCTCCTGTCCTGTGTCTGTCGCGTGAATTAGGGCTTTGGGGGAGAAATTCTCAGAGCATTTGACAGGTCCAGCAAGAATGATTTCCATTCCCTGAAAAAAATCAGGTAATTTTTAAAAGCTTTCTGCAAAAACTTTGTCTTCTTGGATATTGATATTGCAGATATTGAAATCTAGCAGATAAAGATTGAAAGTAAGCCACAGATGCACATGGCTACTTAACAAATGCCATGGTCTGTACCAGTTAAATACCTACTTCTTATCCTGCAGGTGTTGGTTGAAGGAGAGAGAAGAATAGAGTTGCATGCAAAAACGTGTAGATACATGGCTTAGTGCCGTGGTTTAATGGTGGACTTGGCAGTGCAAAGTTAAAGGTTTTAGCAGGTGATCTTAGAGGCCTTTTCCAACCTCAGTTAATTTATGATATGCCATGGGTGCTCCCTCGACAGGAAAGGGTCTAGGGGATATATAAACTTAACATCTGTTTTGTACTCTGCCCCCAGAAAATCAATTGGTAACAATTACTTTGCATTTTCTTTCTTCCTCGCCTGCTGTGTAGAGAAGCCTTAAGGGCATTTTCAGGACAGAGTTCTCGTACTGAAACTTTAATTTCCCCATAATTTTCCCCGTGTTGCTGTGGGATGCTTAGTCTTGTCTGGAAAAGTGTCTGTAAACTGAAGAATAACCTAAGAAGTATGCACACTGGCTATCTACCAAATGGGGAGGGAGGACTTCTGGAGGAAAAAACACAAAGTAAAATAGACCTGCTGATCGGAAATGTGGTGGTTTTTCTGTCTTAAAATTATAGCCTTTTTGAGCTGCTGTGAGCCATCTGTGGTGGTCATCCCTGCTCTGTAATGCAGGCTTGATGCAATCTCCTCCCAGTAATGCTTAGCTGTATCTAAATATGTGGAGGTACTGGACTGGCCACTAAATACCATTCAATATTACGATCTATTGTTTCAGTTCTGTGCAACTTCTACTGCTGTTTTGAAGATGCCCTTGTTTAAGCGTGATTAAGTGAAGTGTTAAAATAAAAGGGTGTCTGCTTTACCCCTGCCTCAACCTTGAAATCAACTTGCTCATGTTTCCTCAGGACAGCGAACTGATCTCACTGCTTTAAAAAAATTAAATAAAAAATTGCTTGCTTGGAATGGGTAAGCATCTGAGAACAGGAGTGCTCTTAGAAGCAAAGGCTCTGTACCAATCTCAAACTGCTGCTCGTTGGAGAGTATGCCATTGTAAAATACAGCAATGGGCAGCTGAGTGCGAGTCCTCTCTTAACTGTTCCTTGCTACTGAATTCAGCCAGCTCCTCCCAGTGATGCAAAGATGAGTGTAATGAGGAAGTAATTTTGTCCAGTGTAGGTACCAAATGCTTTCTTGTCTTCACATCATTTTCCTGTATTTGACAATACTTTTGCTTGTATGGCAATATTTTTATTACTTCACTTTATACATTTTTAAAATTGATCTGCTTTTGTATTCGCAGAGGAGGTGGTGGTGGCGGCGGAGGAGGATGGAGAGCTGTTCAAGACAGGGATCAGTTTTACAGGTACAACAGGAAAGCTTTTTGTTTCTTGTTTAACAATAGAGATACTCGTATATGGTATTTTGGGGATGTTTGAATCCAGTCTGGGATAGCTATAAACATACTACAGCAGTCGAGTGGCTGCTGAATGGTTGCCACTTTGCCGTGAGCAGTACAATTTATTTCAAAGTTTCCCTCATCAAGGGGTGAGGTTAGTATAGGGTCAGGCTAGTGCAGCTTTGCACTAGTTTGGTTTTCTTGAATGACAATTCAGGGGATTAGTGGAAACAAGCAAGGAAATGCAAAACTTTTGCCTGGATTGGAAGAGTATCGTAGAGTTGAGGGTGAGATTTGGGAGGTGGCAGCAGAGAGTGCTGTTCAGATCAACTCATCATCTAGAACAAGTAATTTAAAAGTTAAGGTGTGATTTGGCTTACTCTGCTTGTTTGGGATGCTCTTGGCTTGAAACACAACACTTGGACACAGTCAGATGCACAAGAGAGCATATTTCCTTTATTAGTCAAAAGTAGTATTAATCTGACTGCTTGCTCAAAAAAAAGGGTAAGAAATTTCAAATGTTTGCTCTGTTATCCAGTATAAATGTCGATCAGCTCTTCATGTGCTCATTAGCTTCCCCAACTATGCTCCTGATAGTAGGATTGAGAGATACCCACTAAAAGCTGCTGCCACTCATCTGCCACAGGCTTTAACGAAGGGATTGTTTCTGTTCCTTTCTTCCACAGGAGGAGATCACCATCCCCATATTACAGTCGAGGGGGCTACAGATCTCGATCCAGATCTCGATCCTATTCACCTCGTGAGTAGTTACAGCTCTCATGTCAAAAGCAAATTTCCACTTTGCCTGAACTTCTTCCTTAGCTTTTCTATCCCCTAATAACTTCAGTTTGGTTGTTTTTTTTGAACTACGGTTCCCTTTAAAGTTTCATTGAGCAACTGGCAACCTTGAGGGCAGAGCAAATATTTAGTTTGCAACAAAATAAACTAGGTAACACCACTTTTTCTTTTTTAAGAAAAAAAAAGTCTGAAGTAGCACTTTTTTCTTGGGAACCCAGTTACGACAGCACTTTGTAGCAGGTTGACAGTTTGGTTGAGTCTAGGACAGCAAAGCCAAATTGCAACCAACCCTTGCAGGTTCTGGTACTGGAACTAAAATTCCTGACAAGTTGCTGAAGAGAAGGCTAAATCAGTCTGGGACCTAAGCGGTGCTCGTCTCCAAATTGCTTATTTGCACGAAGGATAAAGCTGTGCTTTTGCAGAAAGTTAATAAAACACAATAGCATTCCTAGCATGTTCCCTTTGAAATGGATGCACCCTGAATGACTAGGTTCTGTTCTCACCTTTACCATTTGTGTCCAGATGAAAACAAGTGTAACTGCTTTGGGGAATACATGGGGAAACTGGCTTCAAGCCGTTACAGTGTGTATTGCACACTGAAACATCAGCCCTGTGCATATATGATGTGAACTGGGCTTTTTCTTCAGGAAGGAACTTCCTGACAGAAGAGTACTGACGTCATACTTTGTTGTAGACAAATAAATCACTGGGCACTTGAATTTGCACATTTGAGGCATGTCTATAAAGTTAGATATGGAACTTGTAAAATCCGTTGATGCTTGGAAGTCTAATTGTATATATTGTTGTTTTTTTTTTTCAGGTCGCTATTAAAGCATGACATGTAGAGGAATTTCTAGCTACAGCCTTTGAGTTGAAATTGCAAGTTTGTGGACAATATTTTTATTGTCTCTTCTGTTTAAACAAGTGAACAGTGCCTAGTGAATAGGTGACTTTTACACCTTTTATGAAGACTACTTCTGTGATGTTAAATGCTGTTTCATTCTGCATATTTGTGTAGTTTGGTGCTTCGTTTCAAGTTGTGTTTTGAAAGGAGTATGTTTTGCATGTATTTTTTTAGTCTCAATTTTGACTCCTGAAAGGTTTCTATTGTAAAGACAAACTGTTCAGTTAGTTTTTTCTACTGATTCCAAGGTATTCTGAAGATCAAAACCTGTGTAAAATGCTTTCAAAAAGTGAAAAATAAAATAAAAAGAAGTTTGATTTTTTTTTTTCCTACTTACTTTTTCCAAGTCTAAGTTACATATTGAAAGGGGACTGCTGTACTTACTTGGTATTCCATAACCAAACCATAGCAAAAAAATCCAGAAGTAAAATTCACACTAAGTTTGTGTTGTTGGGTAATTGCTTTCTAGGTGTAATGCTTCAGGTCTGTAAATCCAGGGTGTAGGGAAGTCCATATGAAACTTGTACAGTAGCAGAGGGAAGAAACATTGTTCAGTCACACTGTAGACAGACATGGAGCAAGACTTCTTGTAAACTCAATGCTGCTGACCTTTGATTGAGGTGTGTGAGCCGTGAGATTCTTTATCCCATGTACGATAGAGACAAGTAAGGAGCCCTCAGAAATGGGGGTGGTTGTCTTTGGAAGTAGATAACCATACATTTACAAAAGGCAATGTCGTAACATTTAGATTGCTTAGATTTCACTTCACCAACAATTGTCCTTTGAAGAAGTACATCTTTATCTGCATATGTGAGTAAAATGCTGGATGCAATATAACTCAAGTGCTGCTTTCCTACCATCTTTCTCCTTAAAATAGTCAAACGTACCCTTTTTGCTTACATGTATTCATGATCATCATGCACCTGCATGAAAATTACATTTGAGAGTTGAGAGCACTGTTGAACTAGAACTTCCCTCAGCCGGGTAGCGCAGGTGATCAGCTCTCACACTTGTCCTCGTTTGGATTCCTTTTAAGCGCTACTGAGCGAAGGCTTTCATATGGCTAACTTCCAGGAGGTCGCACCAGAGGAGAGGATCCATGATCAGAAACTCTTTCCTGCAGAACACAAAACGTGGCTGTATGAACTGCTGTGCTGGCACTCGGTGAGCAAGAGAAGTGCCACCAAAGCCATTGCAGGTCAGGATTTAAGTGGTAAGATTTATTACTGTAAGCTTGTCATACTCCCCCAGAAACATGTAACCTGTGGGAGCTGCTCTAGTAGTCCTGTTGACCTAACACAAACCAAAGGCTTTAATTCAGCAGGTACGTGCATAGCATCTGAGCTATACCCCAGTTCTTTTAGGAACAACCAATTATTTGCTGTCCTGTTAAGGACAATTTTAATTTCAGGTTCCTCATAGCTATTTAGTGAAAAAAGGCTATTTTTTTCATTTTAAAAACTGGCACTGGATCACTCATTTTGGTTTTCAGCTATTAAGTTATCTGTTACATTTTAAAAAGTCTGGGCAAATGCCATCTTACTGCGTAGTAAGTGTGTGCAGTTGGATCTGTGATCTAATGTTAATACTACATGGTAGAAAATGTATTGACCTTTCCATGTTGGTTCATAGTGAGCGTATTTCATGTGGATGCAGCAGTGTACTCATTTCTGGTTATATTCCATGCTGATGTAGGAGAAAAACTTGCCTTTCCATTTTGTTCTCAGAAGGATAATTTGTCAAATTCTGTGCAATTGCATGAAGCAAGGCAGCAGGCTGGAGGCTGAAGAAAGAAGCCTTACCTGCTGCAGCTTTGCAGAGGGCAGGAACGCTGACATCAATATGCTGGATGTTTGGTAAAGGGAAATTTCTGTAGATGCTTTTTTTTAAAATCCATTTCAGTTTTTACTGTGGCTGTAAGAACTGACAACAAGCTTTTAGCAGTAATTACTTCTAACTGAAGTTAGCAGTAATAATCCCTTCCCTAACCCAGCTGACACCTCTGTTTAAGCTTCCCCTGGAGCATGTAGCAACGTTCTAGGCTGGAAGCTCATGCGTGGTTGCTGACCCATTGCAACTTGAATCCCTGCACGAGGTCCCTGCTCGGTGTGGCTCTCAGGGCTGTGGTTACGGACACAGGAATGAGTTATCCCTGCAGAGGTGGAGTCACCGGGTGGTGCTGACCTTTGCAGAGCAGAGGGAGGCTGTTTGTTCTTTGGACCACATTTTGTTAGTCATGATCTTCTACTTCCTTTGACTCATTAAACAGGGGGGTCGACAAAAGCAGAGTCAAGAACATGTGTCCTCCGGTAAGCTTCTTCATATTTTAGTAAAATGAGGATTTCACAATCTGTGGTGCAGTTCCTGGCAGCTGAACTCATCTGATGGCTCGTCGCTGCCCGAAGGGTGTCCTCCTGCTCCTAACCCCCACTCCTGTACCTGATAGTTCTGGGAAGACCTAAATCCCAGCAAGGAGGATCAGCTGAATGCAGGGCTGGTCAAAGTGTGTTCTCCTGCACTGCCTTAGCCTTGCCATCCTGAGAGCCTCCTCTCTGCTTCCTGCTGCTGAATCACTGGAGCTGCTCGTCAAGCCCAGAAACCAGCCCCATGCGAGATGCTCCCCAGCGAGCGTAATGCTGCCCTGGTAGGCAGGAGTGACAGATTGCTGTGGTATGCGATGCACTTCGGAAACACGCCTGAATCACTGCGGGATGTCCCCGTGCCCTGCCAGCGCTTCACACAGAAATTCACCGAGCAGGGAGAATCCTCAGCTTCAGGAGAAGCCGCCCGAGTGGTGGCGATGCCTCTGTGGACCAGAGAGACTGCAGGAAAGGATGGGAACGCCGTGTGGGACAGCCCTGGCCCCTGCCGCGGTGGGGGCTGTGAAATGTGGGTGTTTTTCTGCTTGATCTACTGAGAAAACTCCTCCAAGCCCTGCGCAGGTGCTGCCGGTGGCAATCAGAGCAACATCTGTCGGGTGGATGTGAGATGCTGTGCCCTGCGCTGACCCTCCTTCCTGCGGGACTGCGGCAAGCAGCAAACCTTAAAAGCACGTGGGAAACAAAACACGGCAAGGGAAAGGCTACAGAAAGAGCTGATGCCTGGCTGCTGTTTTGCTGTGCTGGGAGCAAACGAAGAGCTGCAGAGGCAAGGTGTGAGTGGGGAAGGAGCTGTTACCAGCAGGTTTGGGGTTCCTAAAGAGGGTTTGGGGTCCCCATGGTTTCATGAGCTGCTGCACATCAATAGTCAGTGCTTCCATGCACACAGTGTCCTGTCACAACTACGTAATTTGGATTTAGGTAGCTTATTTTGTTGCTTGTGTACTGTTTCCTGCAAACTTAGCCCAAAATACAGGTGGCCATGTGTATCGCTTCCCCTAACTGCTGGGTGTGCACCTCTGGGACCTGGCCTTTGCAGGGTAGACTTGGTCCTACACCAGGATCACGTTGGGACAGTCACCAAAAGGCTTAGCCTCTTGGGAAAGAGCTGTTAGTGCATCGCCACCGGCAGTCCATCATTCCACTGTGAAAACCTTGAGTGCCAGGACTCGGCTGTGCTCAGCCCCTGCACAGCGGGAATGCCCGGAGAGGCTGCACTCAAACCCTCGTAGTCCACCTCTGGGATCTCCCCATGCTGTTTAGTTCCAGCCTGGAAAGTAACTGGGTGGGTTTTCACTCGTGTTGAAGCAAACCGAGCAAGAATACGCCACCATTTCTCTTTTTTTCCAACCAAATTCGGAACTTTCTCAAAGCGGGACTCATAGTGCTGTCTGCGAAGACCAACCCCATTTCCGTAGCAGCTGCCTGGTTTTCTGCTGGGAGGTTTCTGAAAGCCAAGGGATGGTTATCAACGTGATTTTAGAGCTCAGTTCCTGGTCTCTTCCCAGCACAGCGTTACGGTTGCAGTCATCGTCACCGTCGTGATCCTCAGCATTGTGTAGCTCCGCTAAAAATACACCAAGATTTGGGAGGAACGAGGAGAGACGGGGATGTTTGTGTGGGGATTTCTGAAAATCCATCCTTTGTTAGAAACGTGGGCAGGAGCAGCAGTGTTTATCCCATAAAATTGGAGCTGAATTTCTCAAACTCTCCTTGGCTGTGCTGGATTCCCTCTGCCTTGGGTCTGTGGGTCCTCGACACATGATTCAGCTGTTTATTTTGGGATAAAAAACCTGGAATAAACCGTCTCCGACCCCACAGCTCCTTGGGCAGGCTGCAGCCTCCCTGCCGCACGTTCTGACACCTGAGGTCACCGCTGTGACTTGGCCAGAAGGAAAAAATCAGTCACTTTGCAAGGGAACTGAATCATTTTGGGAGCTGGAGGGGTTCTTTGGGTGTTATTCGGGGCTTTTTGTTTGGCGCTGTTCTCTGGTGGGCACGGCTTTTGGCCAGATGTTTGTCCCACCTGCTCCCAAAAGCTCCAGCCAAGGAATGTCCCCGGCTCCTTCTGTCCTGTGCCCGATCAACAAAAGCTCTTTTCCCCAAAAAAGTTTCCAGCTTTTTTCAAAGGAAAGCAGGGCCGTTATCTTCTCCAGCCTAAACAAACCCTCCCTTGGCGTTCCCTTGCTCTCACCTGTTTTTTTCTCCATTTATCTGTCTCGCGGCTGCCTCCTGGACTTGTTACGCATCCGACATCTTTTCGGAGAGGCGTGACCTTGTGGCACACCCCACCTGCCCTTGGGAGAAGACCTGGGTCCTGCAGCACCTTCAGGACCATCGACCCTCAGCCCTGCCCCGTGCACTTGTTGCCTCTCTAACAATTCTCTATCAGTGCTCTTAAATTCTCCCCCCAGAGCACGTCCTCCTCTTGGCCATCACATTGATCGGGACCGAGCCGTCGTTTTAAATTCTTGCAAGGTTAACAAAACTCTGGGAAAGCGAGGAGGGCTGTAGGGACGGCTGTAGGGACGGGAAGGCATCTGAAGAAAGGCGTCGAGTTCCTTCTGCAGAGCCAAAGCCGTGGGCAGGGGGATGAGCTCACGCGGGAGCTCCGTGCGCTAAGTATTTGGGCAGGAGGAGCTGAAAACGCGCCTTCAGCTTTTCTTTGCCAGTTTGATGAAGGTGCTGGGCAGGGACAGCCCCATCCCTTGGGATGGGAAATGGGTTCCTCAGTGTCACCGAGCCCTGCTGCATCGGCTTCAGCAGAAAGGGAGCAGAGAGGGACACACCGGGCCCTAAAAGCACCCCAAAAATAAAAACAAACCCAGCTCCTGATGCTGAGCCCAGCAGGAGCTGCGCTGGGAGCAAAGAAGAAGAAATCGGAGGAGAAGGGATTCTTCTCGCTTTGCATCATCGCAGTCCAACCACATCTATTTTTGCAGTACGCAT